TAGGACTCGGGAGCTATAATAGGTTTGGTAACCAGGCTAATTGATATTATGGTGTATGTTATTTGTTTGTCCCATTGCTTCTCCTTATGTGTCACCACAGCTGCCCATGTGCCTTTGGCGGAAACTCTACTGTGGACGCCGTTCTTCAAAAGAGAACTCCTCCGGTTCCTAATGATAGCCGCCAGCTATAGCTAATTGGGTAGTCTGACATATAAGCCAACCAAATAGACAAACATCAACAGGCGCTCCATATAAACCATTATTAATGTGATAAAAATCGAGCCAACACGCGAGCTACCACTCACGTGTGGACCCGGTTTTACTGATCGAGTATCACAAGCTCGGAAAGAAGATCCCACGTGTCTTCCAGGAGAGTAGGTTAGAAGGACAGACAAGTCCTCTTCTAACCTTACACTCACCTGGTGCAGATGATGAGATAGCGAGTAAGTTTTTTGTGGGGTCGTGTGGCGCAGTTGTAGCGTGTTCGGCTCAGACCCATGAGGTCTCGGGTTCGAATCCTGCCCGATGACACCGATCTTGTGCTCCTGGGAAAGGCACTTCACACGACTTTCCTCACTACACTCAGGTGTAAATGAGTACCTAGCTTCGGCTAGGGATGGGGCGGATAGGACGTTAAATGGAGGTCCCGCGGCCGGGTTTTCGGAGAGCCACACCCCACTTACATGCACACTTATCGAAAAGAGTAGGGGACCTACATGGGTAGTACAAAAAGAAAGCCGAATAAAAACGCCTAAAACACGCCAAAAAGCAGCCCAAGTCTAAAACTCTGAGCATCAAAGAGACGCCTCAAACGCACAGTCATAGAAGGGACGACAACGTTAACATCGGTAGTGCAGCTGCGCCCCCTATGTGAACCTTTCAAACGTTGCAAAGTATACCTCCTACTTCTTCGCAATACAGCATGCGCAGTACACCAGTACGTTGTGTACAATGTACCATTCAACGCCTGTAAGCCAACATATGATGATATCCAATGATGAAGAGAAAACAACAGATGTTATGATACGTTATACTGTGAATGAATTTTAATGAGTTTGTATGATTGTTTTGGCTAATAAACACTTGCAATTGACAAATCAGCTTCTGCTAAAAGACACATTGCAGAAAAATTGTATCAAAGTGGAACTTATATGTTGAATTTGAGAACACATGTCAAAATCTGTGAGACATGGCATCTTTTCGCCTTTTTCTTTCCTATCCAATGATTCACTCACTGAGCATATTGCAACTTACTGTGTTTTTGTTTTATTTCATCGTGTATTTCATCACCTACTTAGAAATGTGATGAAGTCGATATTCAACCTTTGGTTCTTTTCATATATACGTGTGATGACTTTCGATTCCTTGTGGTGAAAACCGACTACTTCTTCAGTAATCGGTTTTCGAACGGGACGACATTCATGACTGTGCACCGTGGAACTGATGAAGGCAGCATCTTCCTGCCGATCCAGATCTTGGCCGTGTGGAGAGACGACCTGCCGCCGCGCTGTTTACTCTGACACCCGCTGGCCTTCCTCGCCTTTCTCTCCCTCTCACAGCAGTCCTCGCACATCCACGGCGAGGTGTTCCCGGCTTGGCGGCCGGACCTGTACCGCTGGCGATCCTCTCTCTCTGCGGTCTCCACCGGGGTTAGGAACTCGAGCTCATCACGCTCAATGATGTTGGGGACGGGCAGGTTTTCGGTTGAGTCCCTCGGTAGCGGTTCCATCTGTTTGATGACCATAGGTGCGGACGTCACCTAGCGAGGTGTCAGGAAAATGCATATACCAGTGAGCGATAATCTTAACGTATCAAGTCTTAACATTGATTGTTTAGATGTAGTACGTTGGATCAAGCCTATCAAACGCTATGTTGCTGATAGAAAAAGGTGGCTTGTTTCGTATGGTAGGCTGCCATGGTTTTGGCTATTTATTGATGGTACCAAAAAATAAAGGGGCTCCTGATGTGGCTTGTTTCTGGGCTAAGCTATTTTAAAAATGTGCTAAGAAAATGCAGTAAATGTCAATACCACACAGATTTCCTCATCCAGAATACTAGTATTGTTGTTTTTTTGGCTTTGCCACCCTTAAATGACATTGGATGTTTTAAGACATGGACGTGTAGGTTTTAGTATCATACTCACCTTGGACAGTTTCCCTGTGGTCGCTTGTTTCTGCATCTGTGGGACCGTCTGTCGCAGGTCTGACTTGGTTTGCCGCACACTGACGGGATAGTGAGCTCTGTTAAACTCGATCCTTCTCTTCCAGGGGTCGAAGCCACGTTTCCCCTGAAAGGCTGGGTGCGTGAGCGGCGGCGTGGTGTTGGACAAGTAGCTGTTGTCATGTGTTATAAAGGAAGAGTCCTTGTGGTGATCTCGGTCTTCTCTTTGCGAGTTTGCAACTGTAGCCCATTTCCCTGGGTTGTTGCCAACCGTTCCATGTTGTTCGCAGGAGTTTCCAAGATCCTGGATATGAGGGAGTTGTAGACCTAAGGTTTTGCCAGGCGGGAACATACCACCCTGCTCGCCGTGGCTGACGGATGTTGTCGACGTAGCCATCCCCACCGCAGTTTCCAGTTCGGAAAGCCACGATAGAATGCTGCTAGATGAGCTCGCTGATGTCAGCTTGTTCTCATCCTTGCCCGGAGCTTGCCTGTATGAGGGGAGTCGCCAGTACATTCTAGAAGCGGGCATGTAACCGGACCGCTGATTGGCCAGGGAGGTTACCGGTGGTCGCGATTTCTCCGCCTCTTCGAATGAGAATTCCTGTAGCTTGGCCGGCATGGCTTCCGTCGGTTGTTCGGAATCATGCACAACCTTCCCGGGTTCCTGTGATAAAGCTGGGCCCTTCATACTACCGTGATCGCCTCGCCTCGACGATTCTGCCGATGCCTTCTCGGGAACTGGTGACAACGCAACGCCGCTGACAGCCACCAACTACATGAGGACGGACAGTATAGACTAACGTAAACAAAGGAGGCGAAAAACGTAAAAGTTATCATAAAAGTTGTGAAGCTGCTCTACTTCAGTGAAACTGTTCTGGAACATTGCTTTGATTCTCGAATGACTTTTTCATCGTTGTAGAACTTTAACAATCGCAATGACCACAGCACAAAATGGAATTGATACACTTACTTTGCTAATATTTACCTCCATGGCATCAGAGTTGTCAAAAGCCCTTTTCTTCATCCAACCAGCGTCCACACCATTATCTTTCCATCTGCAACGACGGCTGTTAGACCACAACAATCATACCGTCTCTATGGTAACAGTTGTGTCCTCAGGTTCCAGAGGTTTCTGACGTCACTTCTACTCTGAGAATGTGTCTACATGTATATAGATAGAATCAATCGAAAAAGTAGAGAGGAAGGTGGCGAGAAAACTCGTGTTTTGTGTCATATCTTCAATAAATCTAACCTGACAAAAACTTACCGCCAAAAGAGGGGTAGGTGGCTGTTTACAGTGACGGAATGTGTTTTCAGCACCAAGGGCATACACCATCTGAACCTCGAAACATCTCTTGCTTTCTCTTCCAACGTGTTTCCAGGAGTGTCATGTCAGAGCTTTGGGCAGAGTTTTCACAAGCAAGCTTTTACGAGGCCATTTTGAATAGCACAATCACATCACAGACGATTTACAGTGCTGTTATTACACCACTTCTTCGAAGTTCCCGCCTCCGTCTGTGATTTGCCTGTCTGGGCGAGCCCACTGTGATTATAGGGGTGATTAAAATCGTTTCTGTGTGTCCTATGTCTTTGTCTGGAAATGATCGTGATTTTTCCTCAGGCGAAACCCTAGTATTTTGACAGCAATAATTGTAACGACTTGAAGGTAGTTTTCACGGGAAAAGACGATAATCATGGGTTGCGCAGAATGTTCTGCGCTGGTTGTTTACATTACTGAAATGTAAACAACATGGCTGCGCCCTTGAGTTTCGCAGAACTCTGTGTGTTCTCGCGTTTAACTCGCGTTTTTGACATATCCAGCGCTGTCATACCAACAATCTAGTCTTGTCCGTCTCCGTGTGAAAGGCTTGCGCTTCCAGGATGTGTGCAGAGCGTAGTTATGCCAGGAGCATTTCGCTACCGCCGGACGAAGTGTTTCGCAACCTGAGAAACGCCAAGAGATTTGCGATGGACATAGGTAACATATGATCATTATATGTGCTTTAAATAAAATAGGCCTGGTCTCAGTGTTCTGTTAACTGTTAGCCATTGTTTAGACACATATCACATTCAAGCTGTCAAAGAATGAATGCTTCAAGATCTTGTCACCAACAAAAGTTTCATAGTGCGTAACTTTTAGGTCAGGTCAAGTACGTAAAAATTATACACATCGATATAACGTTACCTCACGACATACACTGTAAAATGTATACAATGTAAGGTCACACTTTTATCATGAAAGTCATATGAATTTAAAAGGACACAGACACTATACGTATAAAGGGGATGTTTGTGACATTGTCATGTTCTTTGAATGAAACGTGAGCATGCATGTAACGCCCCCCTCCCCACGCAGAAAAGCTGTATAAAGTTTAGAGGGCCTGCATGAGGGGTCCTGACAACGCTCTACCCTAAATTTTGAGAGCCAGCTAATTCAGGAAGCCTTCCTATTACGTTTTACGATAAATTCCTGGGTGCTATAACGCATTAAGTATAATCAAAACAGCGAATTACGCTCTACGCAAAATTCACCAATTATACGCTACGTTGAATTAGAGCGATCCATCTTCACTCTACATACAATGAAAATAGCCGATGACACTCTACAGAAAAGAGCATGTGGGCCCTGTATAAAGTATATTGCTCCAGCTGATTATTGCATAATGTCATAATTACTTGATGATGAGTTTTATTTTTAACATGCTTTTTGCTTCACCTTGCCAGGTGGGTCCCTCGCTAAGTTGGCGTACTACTCCACGGTGGAGCGAAGCCGAGCGTTTGTAAGTGCCAGCAGTGGTGGGGATGATGGTGAAGGGCAGGTACAATAACACCTTATATTTTAACCCTTGTCCTGCGGAACCCAGCAGTTGTTGTTTTACCATCTATAAAGCACTCTGTATAGGTACTAGTACGATTTGGGGGTACTTCTGATGCAATGCATTTCACTGCAGTGAAACACAATAAATGCAGAAGTAACTATACCATCGGAGGGCACAAAAAGTTGGGTTATGCTAGCAGGACAAGGGTTAAAAAGCCAGGTACATTTTTGTATAACGTTATATTTTAATCCAGTGGTTGGAAGCATAGTAGTTGTTCTGTGTTTTTTATTTTTTTTTTCGTTTGGTTTACAGAGTACAAAACTTTCCAATAAAACTTGCCGGACCCTTTCTCCCCTTAATATAGAAATAAAATCTGAGTGTTTGACATTATCAACAGCATTTTGTTTCCCCCCAGGATGACCACCACCTGTATGAGATTCAGGAACAGAATGAGATCGGAGCGCGGATCCACTTCGTGAAGTTCGAGATGACGTATTTTGAGAAGTGTCTGGACTTTATCCAGGAGAACCTGGTGTCCAGCCGCGGGGAGATGATGGGGAAAGTGGTGAAGGCCACGGGAGGGGGGGCACACAAGTACACCAACCTCATCAGGGACAAGCTGGGACTAGAGTGAGAACCATTCAAGCATGTTGTATATTTACATATTGGAAATATGTACCTATAATTTTACAGGATCATAGCACATGTCATCAAAATAAGGTTTGAAATTCTGGGTTTTTCCGTTGCTCTGCATATTTATGTTTACCTTCACAGAAGGAAAACACATATTAATTGTTTTTGCTCCTCCAAACACATAAAATGTCAATCACCTAGACCAGATGGCTGTCACCATGGTAACTGGTATACTAGCAGACACCCTGTGGTGTTGGGTAAAATTATGTAGCAAGTAGCAGGACATACAGAGTTGGCGGGTATGAAGAATAAACAGAGCAGTTGCTTTTTGTTACTGGCTATACATGTGAAGGTGAACATAATGCATTTGATTTTCAAATGTTACCTTTCTAGTTTGTCATTCTTTTCACAACTTAAGTGTATGTATATCTTTATATGTATAGTATACAGTTGATAGATTGCTACATGACTACATGTATTGTTCAGGTGTGACAAGGAAGATGAGATGCAGTGCCTGATCCAGGGGTGCATCTTTGTGCTGAGGAACATCACGAATGAGGCGTTTGAATACCAGCGCCACAGTCCCCAGCCTTACAAGTTCCAAACCATGGACGCTGACATCTTCCCTTTCCTACTGGTCAACATTGGCTCTGGGGTCAGCATTGTGAAGGTACTGCTCAAAATGGACAAGAGAAGTGTACAGCATGTTGATAATGAAGGATGACTGATTGGTAATGAATGATGTGTGCTTGGCTGAGAATGCAAGCCATGGCAAGGCCACACTGCACTTACGAGGTTTAGAAAAAGTGTTGCACTTTGCCTCAGTCTTAGGTCAGCCACTTTGCTTCCCTAACTTTTCAGGTGGAGTCCCATGACAAGTATGAAAGAATAGGAGGAAGTTCTATAGGAGGAGGCAGTTTCCTTGGACTGGGCTGCAAACTCACTAAAGCTAAGGTAAGAAGAAGTCTTATTCTAAATCATGTTTTTGCATCATTGTTGAAACCAAACAGTGGGTTTCTGGCTATTTTTAACAACAGCATCGTAAAAGGTACAGGTAAATTACTTAGACTCTCGCACCCAATTTTGTTCTTTATTGAAGTACCATGCATTAATACCTTTCTTGTGATCTGTATGTACTACAGAATTTTGATGAGCTGCTGCAGCTGGCCAGCCAGGGAGACCACAGAAACGTGGACATGTTAGTGAAGGATATCTACGGGGGAGCCTACTCCGCACTGGGCCTGCCAGGAGACCTCATAGCCTCCAGCTTCGGCAAGATGGTGTCGGCTAAGGACGGTGAAGGCACAGTCACTTTCTATTTGTTTGTGGTGGACAGTTTGTTTGTTATGTTTGTTTAGATTGTTGGTTAGGATTTCTATTTGTGTTACATGGATGTCACGCTACCAGTATTCTTTCCGGAGTCCGTAAGGGTGAGTTACCTCAGTCTGTGTGTTTCTTTGTGCGTTTGCTTGTGTTTCTGCAATTATTTCCATATGGTAAGCATATTGGGGATTAGTTATAAAGGTCTTTGTTAACATTTGACCTGTATGATGGACTCCTATCAATGTCACATATATACAGATTATTGTTTGTAGGCCAATGGCAAAGCATAAAAATTTCATTGTTGTCATTTTTTAAAAATTTCTTATTCTTGCTTTTCATATGAAATTAACAATCTGGTAAACAAGAAAATAAATCAGGCAGTCCTAAAGTTTTATGTCATTTCATGTTTTTATGACTTTTTTTTCATAGGTCAAGAGTTTGAAGAGAGGGACATAGCGAAGAGCCTGCTGCACACCATCAGTAATGACATCGGCCAGATTGCCTGCCTGTACGCCCAGTTACACGGACTGAAGAAGATCTACTTTGGTGGTTTCTTCATCCGTGGACACCCTGTCACCATGCACACCATCACATATGCTATCAACTTCTGGTCCAGGGTAGGTCAACACTTTTTACCCACAGAAGTTTACTATTAGTAAATGAAGTTTCACTATATGCTGTTGACAAACTGATGAAGGTTAGACGTCTAGGTACCTGATAATATATTACCATGGAGACCTCCATGATATTACCGTATAAGATCTCTAAATTAACAGAGCCAGAGGTTTACATATACAAACTAGTTCTACTAGATGAAAAGGTAGATCCATGGCCAGTTGTCTTCAGCTTATACGTCACTGTTTGGAAACAGTAGATGTCAAAGACTGTTCAATTGTATGATTTGTATTTTATGCCATACATGTACATCATTTCCAGAAAATGTTTTTCAGTAGTGGTCACACACATTCAGAAGATTACATTTTCTTTTATTCGCAGGGCACTTTACAGGCCTTATTCTTGAGGCACGAGGGCTACTTGGGAGCCATAGGGGCTTTTCTGAAGGGCGCAGAAGAAGATGGTAATGCTACGTTATTATTTTGCATTTTATATAAAGTGCTATAATGAACAAAGTCAATTAGCAGGATATGATATACGTCTTTTAATACTCCATATCATTGACTAATCAATGGCTCACAGCTTTCATTAATTAAAACAGAGATTCTCTCCAACATTGTATTATAACACACCACATTTACCATATCATTCTTTTCAGCCAATGATTTACTTCTTTCAGTGTGTCTGACACATTGCCAAGTGTCTGTTTGTGGCTTTATGTGGTGTCACAGATAAATAAAATGTTCTTCATGTTTTGTAAGGAGATTTTACGATTGTTCCACAGATGCTGAGAAGTACTGTTGGGGAGAGAACTATGCTGGGAGTTCCGGTCTACACAGCACCTCCCCTCCACCAGACTTTATTCCACGGGACAGGACAGCATCAGTATGTACAATCATACATTGAAAAAATAATTTCATTGTTATGATGTAACTGTAACAATGGAATGGATACAATGGAAAGCAAACAAAGCAAAAGTTGAATATAATAAATATGAGATAAGCTGTGAATAAAACACTTAGTTGTGTAAAAAGAGTCTCTTTACTCAGTAACTTACCAACCAGATGAAAATATTCACGGATGTGGTGTACAGTTTGACAGGTTTGAGCTGGACCGTCTGGAGCGGCCTCTGGTGTCCCTGCCGTCCCTGTTGGACTCGCCTAGTTACTTCCCCGACACAGTGGACCTCACCGAGGACCCAGATGCCAGGAAGTACTGGCTGGACTGCTTTGAGGAGGCCCTTGGCAAGGTGAGGGTTATGCAAGAGAAGGTAGACAGCCCTCCTGCCTACCTGCCTAAATGCTTAAGCCAGAACTGGCCCCTTGCTCCTCTTCATTTTTTCTCGCCAGGCAGCACCGTCCTTAGCCTTTTGTTCTCCAACCTTGAGGGACCATCCTGTATCATGTACTATTTTGCTAGGTTATGATTCTGATACATATTCATGTAACAGTATCATGACATTTAAGTGGTTAGGCTACAGACACAGGATTGAGAAGATGCAGGTTTGATTTCTGCCTAAACATTGTGTTCTTGGGAAAACACTTTACATCCCTTTACCCAGGAGTAGATGGGTATCTGACATTTGTTGTAGAGGTTCAAGTAAAAGGCAGTGGAAGGAGAGGGATGGTCTCCGCCTTCCAATACCATGCCCAGGACACAGTAGATTAACAACTCGTGATCACTGCCATAACTGCCTTGAAAAAGCTATGGGATGTCCAGTACCTTTTGTTTTAGCCTCTTAACATTTTTTGTATGTACACAGGTTGCAGCCAGAGCTGTAGCCAGTCAGCCCACCAGAGATGATGCCAAGATGAGGGCTGAACAGTTCATTGCCAAGTACAACAAGCGGCTGGAGACACTGAGGGAACATCCCTTGTAAGTGGTGTATGTTGTGGTATAATTTGTAAATCAAGGGATGACCAGCAAAGTCCTGTATTTTCAAACCTCAGGTATTAATATACCTTACTAGCCAAAACCATAATATGACAAAACAATTTTTTGTCATTTGCCAATCTAACAAGCTATAATCACTAGTGGTAAGTAAATGTGGTTCCTAGAGACTTTCTGTCATCATGCCCTTTTTTCCAGTGCCTATGGGTCCTTGACTGTGAGGAGCCTCCTGGACACTCGTGAGCAGTGTCTGAACGAATTCCACTTCGCTGACCCTTATCAGCATGTAAGTCTTCTCATTGATCAGGAGTTTTGAATTGTCTCAGATTTGACAGCCTTGTGGAGCTTTTCATATTTAATAATCATTCATTCAAAAGTTTTAAAGGCATCCAATGCAATTTCAGGGTGGCAAAACTGGAAATATTTTGAATAAGGCAATATACTGTATACATTGTATTCTGTATGATATAGATAGTTTACATATATGCGCATGCTATCCCACATTAGCACATTTGAATCAATATTTCATACTTTAGGCATTTAAACTGCAGAAACAAGATTAGTCCTCTATTTAGATAATTGACTACTCATGAATATTGACTTTGAAAAATCTGGTTTCCAAGCCCTAAAAAATGCACTGGATGCCTTTAATGTTTATTTTGTTGACACTGACAGTTATCAGAAAGAGAGTATGTATGATTGTACAACTAATTGTGACCTTCACATCTAGATCAAACAGCAAGAGAACGAGGCTGCCCTGCGCATCCTCCCTGAGCGCCTGCAGCACCTGGACAGCCTGGAGTTCCAGGCACGGCAGGTGGCCCTGGCGGAGGGCCTGTTGGCTGGGAACGTGTTTGACTGGGGGGCAAAAGCAATCACCAGGTGAGGCGCACTTAGTGTAACACACATGTAACGAGCACGTCGGCAGAACATACTGCACCTGCGCAAAGCCGGAAATGTTTTGCGTGCACTTTGGAAGAACGTCTCATATAAGGTCATATTTGCCCATATAAGGTTAACATCCCGTCTGTGGTTTCCAAATATTATAACGGAAAAGATATCCTCTGCAACAGGCAAAATACTGATTCAACGTTGACCAAAAATCCAACCAAACCCTTGAAAAATCAGGATTTTGCGCAGCGCAGTACATTCTGCCGACATGTAAAACCAACTCTCATAAGTCTATTTTTTAACTGTCTATATATACAACTGTATATGCCAATCAAGGGACTCAAATAGCCACAATGGACAGAATTCTTGTTGCAAATTGCTACCTAGAACTGGTATGGATATAACAGGCTAGCTAACATGGTCTTCTTTTCCTTGTTTGCAGATTAATGGAAGGGGGTGATAGCTTTGGTTTTGAGGAAGCCATGTCAAAATTACAAGGTACATACTAGTAGTTTTTCCTTGTGATATACTTTCTTGAGTTTATATTCTTGACATTAAAAGTTATTTGAGTGATTTAGTTCCATTTTGTGTATCAATGCAGTGAAGAAAGTATGTTCACAGACCACTAGATTTTTTTACACCTTGTTTTGTGTATCTGTGCTTCACAATATTGTGTAAGCAGTGAAAAGACCACAATTAGAACATTGTATAATGTATGTAAACAAACTGCACACATATACAAACATTGTATCTGATGAGATAATGTTTCTTCCCAGCTCGTCCCTGGCTTGTAGATGATTTAGACCCTTGGCTGGAAAGATTACAGGTATGCATGACCTCAGATTACTGGTTTGAACCTTATTTTTAACATTTGATTGATAATTTTTGTGTGCTTCAGTTTTCTTATTTACATGTATATACAGTGTACTTTAAAGGAATAACATGTCATTTGGTTGATTGAATAATAGTTGAATTTCTCCTCATCAAATTTTCCTTAGGCCACAGCAAGTAATTTTTATGGATGACATCAGCGCACGCATTAATTTTTGCCTGATTTTGGAAAAAAAAAGAAATTTTGTTGCCCTCTTAAAGTCACAGGTCAACATGCTGAAAATGGGCAAAGATGTCTGTTGCCATGCCTAGTCTTATCATTGTGCTACATTTGATCATGTAAATTTCTCTCTGCAGGACCATCCCCATAAGTGTGCCCTGATCTTTGCTGACAACAGTGGACTGGACATCATCCTGGGAGTGTTTCCCTTTGCCAGGGAGATGGTTCTGAGGGGGACACAGGTACACATATAATGTACATGTAGAAGGTGTGACTGTCTCTGCAATTTCAAACTACTCTACATGTTTTAACCATCATGGTATTTCCTGCTTTTTCACTAGTAGAGGGATAAATCTCTTTGAGTACTCTAGCGGACAAGAGAGTACTAAGAGAGTACTCATCACAAAGGACAAGACCAAAAGAGAGCTGGAAGAGCTCTGTCCCCACAAGAAGAGACTCCAAAGAGAACTGCTGTAGATTCATTTCCTTCTTGACACCTGAGGTTGGACCCCCTCAGATATCATCAATTGTTTTGAACAATAGATAATTAAATGGGGTTTAGTGTCTAACCCTAACAATAGAATGACAATGACATAAAAACAACATCACAGCAGCCATGTTTTCACAGGTAATTTTGAAAGAGACTTTTCAAACAATGGGAAATTTACATAACAAAACAGTTGTAAAAAAGAGACTTGTAACAGACTGCAAGAGATCTGAGATAGCATTTGGGAGAACAATGCCTAATCCAAAGAGAACTGCTGAGTACTCAATTGTCCGCTAGAGTACTCAGAGAGATTTATCCCTCTACTAGTGTTTATACACCAATTGCCACCTTGTGCCTGCAAAAGCTGGTGTTGTGCCAAAGGGCAGTTACATCTATATAGATGCAGTTCATGGGTATACAGGAGAGTACATGTATGACAGTGTGTGCTTGCCTGAGAATACTGTACAATAGCTGCATAATTACTGCTTAAGGTTCTGAAAAAGCATCATGTTTCACCTCAGTTTGAGGACAATTGCTTTATTCTCACTTTCATCTGCACACAGGTCATTCTGTGTGCAAACTCTAAGCCAGCCCTGAATGATGTGACATATGGGGAACTGAAAATCCTGGCAAAGAAGGTGGCAGAATTGTGCCCTACAATACGGTGGGTACAGCTCATTGTATGTTACATTCACCTCATTGTTTTTTTAAGATGATGATGAAAATAATGGTGAAGGAAACACACAAGGGACCACAAAAAGTAAAGTTGAAACTAGAAACTTGACTCTGTTATATTTGCAAGCATGATTTCACTAACACTCAAGCCTTTTTTGTTGCTTTATTGTTACCAGGACTGCACTGTCAGAAGGTCACTTGAAAGTCATGGCTTCTGGAGCTGCTTCACCCTGTCTGGACCTGAGGTATGTTTTGTATGGTTCTTAAGCCTTCAGTACATTTACAGTACTATTCAGAATGCTCCATGCTTTCCTAGGGAATTAGAATTTTGATAGCTACTTGGAGGGATGCTGTGATATTTGCATAAAGTAGGAAATCTCTTAGCTGAATGGTAATAGGGGCATTTGAAATCAATCATTATAACTTTTTTTTTACTACAATGTATCATGAAAGTTCATCAGTGTTGGTATCTACTTGCATTTATGTCACAATCCCAAGAAACTATGTGACAAGTCTCACTGGGTCAGTCTCTTGAAGAAGACCAGAGTGACTGGTCAAAAGTTGTAGGTGAGAACAATGCCTTGTGTTGAAACAAAAGTTTTAACTTTAACCATTGAAACTCTTTGGTAATATATTTGAGATGTTTTTGCCCAGCCGTATAGATGAGATGCTGTCTCAGGAGTGCCAGAGAAGAGGTGTAGATCTGGTGGTGTTAGAGGGGATGGGCCGGGCCATCCACACCAACTATCACGCTGCCTTCTCCTGCGAGTCACTCAAACTGGCCGTGCTCAAGAACAAGTGGCTGGCTAACAGACTAGGTACTCTCACCTCTCAAATAAAAGTACCCCCTGGAATAAAAGTACCCCCCGGACAAATCTTCAAAATGTAATAAAAGTACCCCCTGGAATAAAAGTACCCCCCGGAAAATTTTAAAATTGACATGTAAGCCAAATTGTTTATGCTACTAAAATGTGTTCCCACGGTGTATGTATCCCAAATAAACATGACTCTGGAATAAAAGTACCCCCGACAAATCTTCAAAACCTAAAAAATATACCCGCCCAGAATAAACATACCCTCAGGAAAAGTACCAAATTATCAGCCTGCATTCTTACAAGTTATTGATTTTTTAAGCTTAATAATTATCAGAAAGATTACATTAATAGAGTTTGAAGTTGAACAGAAATTTACAATATGCTGAATAAATGCTCTATACAAATTTGCAGTAATGTGTAAAACCCATAGGCCATATAGATATATATATATATACAGGGATCTCCCCAGAAATTCATAGCAGGGTGGAGGAGGGTGCGAAGCTATTGCATTTTGTCATTTCCAAACACAAATGGAGGTCATTTCCTACAACTTCAGTTCTACATTTTCTGTACAACTGCAGATGTATAAGGCAGGAGAAAGGTTCAAGATCTGTACTTAATTACCCTCTTTATGTTCAAAAAAAATTCTATTAGAATCCTTAATTTTGAAAAATTGGGCATAGGTTACCCGGATGACCCCTAACCGGGGGGCCAACGGTGCTTCCACAAGTTCAACAAGTGAAAAATACATGATACAAAATGTACATGTATTTACTACCTGGAACTTGGAGCAAGTTTTCCAAAGTGTTACTGACATTAATATATTAAAAACTAAACCAAATCCTATTTCGGTTTAGTTTTTAATATATTAACATTAACATATTACTGACATTAATACATTAAAAACTAAACCAAATCCTATTTCCCAAACAAATCACATATTGACAAAGCTAAACAAATAAATCATGTCTATAAACTCCACTCAAAAACAATTTTTGAGAGACATTCGGGTCGCGGTACTAATCGTAATAATCTCTAATATCTCATCTGATTCTCCCAATGTAAGGGACTCCACAATCACAGCATCCAACCGCACATTCATAGAAACAGCATTACATTTTAACACAAAAAAAAAACAATAAATTCGGAAAATTTCTCAGTAATGTTTGAAAATTAACCTTATAAAAATATTAGTGAATTTTTATTTCAGTTGTAGCCGAAAAAATTTTTTTCATGCGTTTAAAGTTTCGTTTTAGCACATTGTAATATGTACTTTGTACATGTATCTTGTACATTTGGATGCAGTCTTGACCTTTGACCACTGTTATTGTGAAACACTGTCGGCCACAGTCTCGCCGTGGATTTTCGAGCCGTTTTTCGAGCAAATTTCAACCGTTTTAAACATTTTACGGCCTCAAAAACTCATATAACGAGGAAAGCAAGTTGTAGTTGTTATTTTCATGCGTAACATTTCTTCTGGGGATGGATTATTTTTCCGCCGAGCTGCCGAAAACTAGCGTCATGCCTCAACCATGTGGTCGGGCGCGGCCGGCCGGCGGGAGTATCGGTGAGCTTTCACGATGTAAATAAAGACATTCGGAGTTGTTTACATGAAAATTTTGTTGTGAAACGCCAGCGGGGTGTCAGATTTTCTACCAATAACAAAGTTTTCTCTGCGGCGTCATGGCGAGATCGACAATTCATCGTCAATTCACAAGATTGTGCCGGCAATGGAATGAATAGTGGCCCGATTAGCGCTCGATCCACGCCGCCTGGCCGAAGAAAATTGGAATGACGAGCACATTTATCGGGAATAAAATCCCCAATTTTTAAAATTATCGGGGAAAAGTTGGAATAAAATCCCTAATTTTGAAAATCTATGTTCAAACTTTTATGTTCAGGACCGAAAATTTGTCCTGAACTTGGTTTGATTCTGAAAAAAAATAATAAACGTACCGTCTAAAATAAGAACGTACCGGGCGGATTTCGAGGCGAAAAAAAATAAGCGTACCGGTACGTTTAATAGAGAGCTGAGAGTAGGCTAAATCGTTTTCTGCTTTTCTTAGAAGTGACAGATGTCTTTATTTTAGAAAGTTTTCTGTACTCCAGCAAATAATTCCATCAGGCCTAGGAAAAAAATGTTGTGCTTCCTGTTTCAGTCTTGAAAAAAATAGGGTGTCAGATCATGATCCGAGCTAGAAAAGGTTGATCAGCTCGAACAATTCCCTTGCAGGGGTCCACCCCAAAAAAGTCTAGGGTCGGCAGGTTTTTCTAGGGTTGGTCGAAACATTTTCTTTTCTAGGCCTCAGGTGGTGAATGATTGGCCATCAAAGTTCTTTGTTCACAACCACCTGTTTGCAAGAGCTCCTGTAAACAAGTGGTTGTGGGTAAAGAACTTTTAATTGGTATTCAGTTGTCTGTAGACTTTTGAATATGATTCCCTCACTGAATATGGGTGATCTTTAACTCTTTAACTCTAAAATCACCATACATATTTTTTAAATGTCTGTTAATGACACTTGTCTAATGACAGGAAATGACACTAAGAATTATTGCTGTGCTGTAAATCTGAGTCTCATATTAATCTAAATGTGTTCTTATTTCCAATTTTTCTTCAAGAATGTATCGACCGTTTTAATTTTGTTTTCCAGGTGGAGATGTTTTCAGCGTGATTTTTAAGTACACAAAGGGGTCAAAGGTTGAGGGCATGACCCCCAGCAGGAATATAGGTTCCCTACAGACCAGGAAGAGTCCAGAAACAGACAGGTGACACCCTCACCAACCATGACACATCCTCTACAGTGCAATATCAAGTACACAGAATCCTATGGACTGCTGGGCTAGGACAGTTTACTAGGAATGTTCTTCAGTTTGGCCATGACAACCTTTAAGGTTTATCAGTGAGAACCGTAAAGAGATTTTAAAAATCTTCATCCTGCTGAAATAACCTGTCGGCACCAGATTTTATTAGCTACATGTTAGGCAGCTGGGAGAAGGTTTAAGTGCTAATAAAGTGACATTTTCCAAGAAGATTGGTGACTTGAGAAGAGGAGTGAGACTGACAAAAGATGGTATGACATTTGGACCCTTTAGCGAAAAGCACATGTACAATGGTCTCTTGATCTCATAGTCCATTGCGCAGTTTGTATTTTACAGAGAAATACACAATGTCATGTATCTGCTGGTGTATTGAGAGCCACATGTAGCTGTGGATCAGGACAGATTTTTTAGCACTAATATTTAGTAACTTTCTGTTTCACATAAAAGGGGCAGCATAGAAAACTCAGTCTACTAGGTAACACACTGGAATGCATGTTCCAGTTGTATCAAGTAATATTATTATGTTAATTCTGAATATTAGTACATTTATATGATTTACTGCCCTAGCTTGCCAAATTGTAACAACTTAATTGATCAGAGATTATGGAATAAGCATGCGTGAGGTTAATACAGGTCCTAACATGTTTTGTTTAACTTTAAATCTCAAGGGCAAACCTTTGATAGATTGCCCACAATACATCACACTGTGCACACACAGTTTGAACCATGAAATGGCTTGTAGTTGGATCATTTCCCAGAAATGAAAAAAAAAGACAACTTTAAGACCAGGAGAATGGTTTATTTGTTTAAATCTCTACAAGTCTGAGGTAAATGCATCACAATCCTGGGAGACCCAACATTTTAGTTTTACATGTAACAACAATTAGGCTATCTTTTGATAATGCATATCAAAGACAAACAAGAAAATCATATGTAACTAGTCCATCTAATACATGTTGTGAAAGTGTTTCCACATTACACACAATCTTATTATATCTAAATTTTATTCCTTTGACAACACTATTTACACAAATGTAACCTTTAACTTGCTGTTTAACCTCGTAAAAAATATGGATACCATTGCTGAAACGGTCTTGTAACAAAGAAAAGTTTATAAACTTTTCTTGATCACACTAATGGACAGTATTGTACATGCAATTGTAATATTATAATTTTGACTCCAGTGTCTTCCCCCATTTCATTATAAGTTTCAGAATGCATGCATTGTATTGTGCTGCATTTACAAAGTCAATGGCAAGTGAACATGACATTAACATTAAAGGTTTCAGTATTCTAGACATCAAAGTGTGCAATTTTTTTCATAGAATATTTCAGCAGGCATTGTTACTCTGACATCTTGCTATAAAACCATCACATTATACAAGTGATGGGTACATTGCACAATGCACCGAAGAAGATCACTTTGAAGTACAGCAGTGTATAAGACACACTTGGCAGGCACAAGAACTTGCATAATCACAGCATAGCCCTAGAGCACACTTGTATGCACCTTGCAGTTTACATCACCAATGCTTGGGGTATCAAAGTCTTACGAACACAGGGCCAGCAATTTTTTCACTTCACTAAGTTAAAATGGCCGACTGTCAGAAAGGTTGTACAGGTGTAAGTATAAGGCATACATTTTGTACCTGTGGCCTCCATGGGTCATTATACTGACCAGGGATGAATCCTATACAATAGGCAACATTGCACTTACAAATATGAAAGAAAAAGATGTCATGACCAGCTATATAGTGTGCTTGTAACATGTACTTTGTTACAAATTGGTACATAACTAGGCATCTTTTCCATCTTGAAAGATGGTGCATAATACAAAATGTAAAAAAAAAAGATAACCTTTTACTCAGAACATCAAGGCACTACTTTCCAGTTGTTATGATATGGTAAGTCTACACACATGGACAGATCATCATTACAGGCATGATTTCAGCAATGCCTAAATGTCCACATACATGTATACACAGTACACAAACTTAATGGTCCATTTTCTATTCAATGTAACAATAGTTGGCACAGGCAGGTAGCTAATAACAGCAGATCTAGTGTGAGATCTTCAATTAAAAAACTTCTGCGATGACCAATAGCAAGCCATTTGTGTATCCCACTTTTTAGCCAACAGTTGACTTCAGGAAAGAGCTACGTGCATGGATTTCATGATTGGCAAAGCACTCTTTGCTCACCCTTTACAATACAATGTTGAAACCTTCAATGCTGAAATCTGGGGCTGCATTATTTTGCCTGTAAGCAGTTGATATAAGTATGATACAAACTAATGATGTGTTTGATAGGGATTTCAAACTTGCTGGCTTACATTTGACCAAGTATGACACAGATATTTTGCATCCTTAGACTAGCTTTCATGATTGTTTTGACACATCTTTACCTTTGTACAATCTCCTATATAAAACGGTCAAAGGGACATTTCATGTCTTGACATATCTATGAAAATAATTTGTAGTCTTTTCCTTAGCAAATTCTACACTCTTGTCTGCATGAAAAACTATAATTTTCTGTATGGCAGAGAAATATTCAAGATTGATCTCAGAACTCAGCTCCTTCATCTTTTGAAATGCATGGCAATATATATTGCAAAATATATTGCAAAAATTTATAACATTTTTTTCCCTCTTGTTTGGCAATTCTTAAGATTGGTTGGACAGTAAATTCTCCCCATACATCTAAGTGTAAGAGCCCAGGCTTAAGCTGTGAGAGAAAATCCCATTTGTATTTTGTTAATCTTCATTTCATTTCAAACATCTAAAAGTACATGTATGTACCAGTTCTAGAGCAAGCTTTTACAAATATTACACAAGACTATATTATCAACATTGCATGCAGACTCCAGCAAACACAGATCAGCATAATTCACTTGAAAGTACCCCAAATATTGTCTCTACCACTCTATAGCTGGTTACCTGGGTTAACCATTCTAGATATCTTTCAGGTAACTTCAGTCTTTCTAAAAGTGTAGTAATCCAAAACTTTAGGTGTTCAAAATCAAACCAACAGAAATGCTGCTATGGTAACATTCAATTGTAAACGTATAGCTTTGTATAGTAAAAAAATGAGTCTACAACTGAGTTCATCAGTGTTGTTAAACTGTGACAACAGTCAAAGCCAGAGATTTCTTCTCTCATCGTGATCACCTCACTCTAACTTTCCAGCATCGCCATTGACCTTGGATGGTGTGCGGAACAGGCTCAGGATGGCCATGACCAGAGCTGTGTAGATCTTGTTGTGACAGAAAGTTAGGACTGGCTGGTGGAACAGTGACCAACAGCGCCAGTACGGGCCGTAGAACGGGTCTGAGATGGCTGGACAGAGCATGTTGTTTAGGTTCACCTGGGTCAGCTAAAAGGGAGCAACATACCATCGATTTAAATGAAAGCTCATCTGTGTTGGTAGAATCCATAGTAGTAAAGTTTAAGCTTAGTTCCAACACAAAAAAGGGGACATACACTGGATAAGGTAAACACCGTAGTTTGAAAGAAAGCTCATCTTTGTTCACTTGGTACAATCCATAGTTGAGAAGTTTAAGCTTATTTCCGACACAAAAAAGGGGACAAGCAGTTACACTGGATAAGGTACACATACTGGACATGAAGAAGGATTACTTTGTGAGGGGTGTGAAGGAGGCAATTTACATCAGGGCCCATCACTCTCGCTCAACAGTGACCATCTTTCTGTTTGTACTGAAACCTTTTGCAGTTACAAGCACCTTATGGGTACACAATGTCAGCAAAAGTGCCAGGAATTTTATTGACAGACTGAAAGTTCTGAGGAATGTACACAAATTCTGACAGTGTTGAGCTTTACTTACGAAAGCAAATAGCTGCAGTGGTCCAAAGTGGTAGGTATACTGGATTCCCAGGGAGATCACAGACCACCTCAGGTCTGATACACTCTCAATGGTATATGCTCCTGGAATGATATTGGTAAACTCAAATGATCAGTAATACATGTATTCATCTTAAAAAATGACAGTAAAGAGTATGAATTCAGGAACTGTTTTCAACTAGAATTTAAAGGTAACATTTGCAAAGCAAATGCATAATGTTTAACTTTATGTATGGTCTGCTCTGTTAATACTCAAACACATTCATACACATGGTGACAGGAGTCTAAATCCCTCCTGCTATAAAATTGCAACATGATACATGTATAACGTCTGGTTCAGGTCATTGGTCTTATTTGTTTGGAATATCTAATGTCAGCATGTACATGTATAACCATATACATGTAAAATAATGGTGAATTCAACTTGAAAAAATGTAAGTTATTATTTTGTCACATTACCTCCCATCCATAAGAGATATGGTGGAACCACAAAGTAGATCAGAACATGTTGAATGTAGTACACCTCTGGTTCAAATTGCAGCTGGAAAAAATCAAAATGATACATGATTACAACATATACTTTTGACAAAACAGAATGTCCATGTCAGATCTTCGAAAAATGTACATATACATAGAAATACATTCTGACCAAAATACTGAATCTGAATAAAGTTTGAACAAGATATCTGTAACTTTGTCAGCTGTACAGTGTCAGATATTTCATTTGTGAAACTAAGTAAAAGTTGAAAGTTCACTTTTTACATTTTGTGCTTGCATTTACAGGTGAGTACTTGAGATAAACAGGATTATTGTCTTGATGTTGACGTACCAGTCTGGTGTTGAGGACAGGAAACAGCAGGGCCAGGATAGGACCATGTCCCCAGTGCATACCCAGTCTGAAATACAACATACAAGCACACAGTTATCATTTGCATTCAGTTTTATATATAAACTGCCATATAGAAACTATATAATTTTCTGCATGGCTGAGAAATATTTGCATTCAGGAAGTGGTGTGCTTAAGACCTGGCCAGGCCAAACCATTTCATTTGTTTCAAACACAATAATACATCAAATTTATAATAGAACTGAAAACTGAAAAAGAATGCCCTTTTAAAAGAAGTATAAGATTGTAACATTATCCCTCTCTGAAAGCTCTGACAAACTCCCCACCCTTCCTTGCCAAATTTGTCCAAACTTTGACACAACAATGTACCCAAAACATTCTGTCATTTTCAATGATTAATGACAACCGTACCAATATTAGTTGGATACAAATGCAGCCATGTGGCAAATCCAATTGTAAATTGCTGTGTGAACTGGTCAAATGATAAATTATGCTTACATGTACCTGAATACAACAGTAGATGTCTGACTGGGTGGAGCAGCTAGCAGGTAGATCTGAGATGAACAGAGGAAAAATAAACTGTCAAATATTTTTTGGAAACGGATACTGCAATTCACTTTACGTTCACGGTAGCAAAAGTTTGCAGTCTGAGAAAGATGAACATGTTCACGGAAATATATGTTCATAGTGACAACAGGTGCAGAACATTGGTGAATTATTTGTTAATGGTACAGAAGTGATCACAAAAACTGCAAACATAAAAGCACCGCAAAAAATGAGGAATTACAGTACTGTAAAAGTCAGTGCAAACTAATAATATAAAATATATAGAGAGGAAGGTAAATGGAGCTGTAAAAAGAATATTCACAGATGCTGTAATGTTCGATAGTGTCTGCATTCATAAAGGATTGTAAACAGGAAAAAGTAACAGCTACTTTTCAAAGGATTTTGTCATATTTTGCCATTTAGTTTTCCATCCAGTTAGGTCTACAGTTGTTACAATCATGCATGAATGTATTTTCTGGCCTCTATATTTGCTGTGTCGTGAAATGGCCTTTACATATATTGTGGACGAGGTCTGAAAACGTGTACCTTGACTGTCCTTGAAATTTCTGGCACATATTAATTGTCTGCTTGGATGGGCGTTCCCTGTATTCTGACTATTGTCCAACGTGATATCTTATTTTTTTGGCAATTATAACTGAAACTTCTCTCATCTGGTAATTTTCTAACTTGGGATCAGGTGGTATGGGTTGGCCAGCTTGCAATACATTTAAGAGTTAAGCATTTGGTACACAGTTGGACTTTTCATAACTTCACTGTGGCCTGTGACCGTCAATAAAATGCATTTATGCAAGACAAAACAAAAGAGAAAACAAAATGGCTTAACTCCTACGTATGATTCTTTGTAAGACTGGCTTACTAGTACATGTAGTTGATAGGAATTTCCATATCAAAATAAAGACAACCACACAGTTACAGCTACAACATAACTTACCTGCACCATAGTAACAATATGGCAAGGGTTCAACAGATAGATGACCTCTCCACTGGCAAACTTGAACCCCGTCTCAATCCCGTACGTCAGACACAACATGACCAGCAGTGCACGTTTTATCGTGGGATCTGTCCTGTCATACTTAGACGGCAGTCCCGGAGCCCGTGCTATGCTCCTGTACCCAAAGTACAGCAGAGCCGATCCGAGTACCATGAAGAAAGTGGTCTCGATGAGCCGCTGTTTCAGTCCGATAAAATCGCAGCATTCCTGACCCCCGTTCCCGGGGATACTGGGGTCTACCCCGCCGTAGGCCCAGTCCAGAACCGTGCGGACACTGTAACCCATCGTGTTGGTCCTTCTTGGGTCACAGAGAACACAGGAACAGTAGTCGTTAAAGCTCTGTTTAGGAATAAACACAGAGCCTCGGTGCTGCAGTCACAGAGTCAAGCACCTGCAAAAACAAAACAATAACTGTAGTATCCTGACATGACATCTCATTTTCACACGCTCTTGATTTTCGATTCAACACCTTTCATCCTGTCAAATCAATGTCATTTTGGCAAAGCGGTCTTGTGCTTAATAGGGTTGTTGTTTATAATTGTTCTGGGTTTGAATCCCTTAATTAATTGCAAACCTCAGTGTATGTTGAGCACTTGGGAAATAAGGGTGCTTGACTCCTATTTCGTCACTTAGGCCCGATTTAGACTAGAAACGCTTAAGGGGTTTTGGCCAGGGAAACGTTTCGGAACGGTTAACCGTTCCCGGTCTAAAGAGGAAAAAACGGTTTGTTATGGGTTTTCGCGGACCGTTTCCGAAAACCACCTCGATCGTGGTTTTCGACCGTTTCAGAACCCTTCAGCGGGGGGCCCGAAACGCTTTCTGCTAGGTCTAAAGTCAAAGGGTTTCTTGAAACGGTAAACCAGGCCACGTGTCATATGCTAATCACATGCTAATAAGCGTCCATTTTCTGGTAGATTCGCGCCATATTCGATTGTGTCCATTTTCGCCATTTTATATCGTGTATTTCTCAAATTTTCCTCATCCTTTACGTCTGAAGGGATGGCAGAAGGCCAGGGGAGGGTCTGAACCCAAGAAGAGACCCGCTGCTTGATCAGCTTGTGGGCCGATCAAACTATACAATCCCGCTTGGAGACCTCGCGTAATAGGGAGGGCATACAGATGCTTGTGGACGGGCTGGCGGCTGAGGGGTATTTACGCACCCCAAAGCAGGTTCGGGCGAAGTTCAAGACCCTGAACTGTGACACAAGTATCGTAAGGCCAATGAGGCAAACCGTAGAAGTGGCTCGGGGAGGTCATCATAGGTCACTGTGGGTCAGAAACATCCTGCGCCACGGGCGGCCCGAAACGCTTCCGCCCCTGTGTCTAAAGACGAACCGTTTTCTGTGGCAAACGTTTCGTACCGTTTCGAAACGGTATACCGTTTCTAGTCTAAATCGGGCCTTAGGCCACACCAATTTAATTTGTTGGTTCTCGGATTTTTTCAGAAAAAATATGAAGCGACAGGGCGAAAAAAAATAAAAATAAAAACAGGTCTAGGCATCCTATTATAGGCTTAAATGCTACAAAATGAGCCATGAAGTCAACACAAAAGGCTGGGTTAAAATTTAAACATTGAATTTTGAACTTTTAATCAAACCACTGCAATGATAGATGGGAAAACTGTAACAACTAGGAAGAAAAGGACTTTCCTCAACTGTTGGGGGGCAAAACATGAGCATTTTTCAGTTGATTAAGGACCAGAATCAATTTTTTTTTTTTTTTGCAAATCAGAAAAAAACGAAGAGGCGAATCCGAGAACCAACAAATTAAATTGGTGTGGCCTTATCTAAGATGAAAATGAGTAGCTTCATTATGGGAAGTCCTCTCTGTATGTCTGGACATAAATAGAGGTCTACTCTAACTTGTTTGAGGGAGTCTCAGCATGCTTATCACAAAAACTATTGAGGGGACCATTTACCTTACAGTCTGGTCTCAGTCAGTCAGCTTGTACTGTCCAAAACTGGCGAGTCACGCCTAAAGGCAATTAACTGATGATGAAAACAGACAATAACGTATCACGGTATGGTACAAAAGACTGGGCCTGTATGCGGAGTGCACAAGAGTCAATCGCTGTGACAGCCTGACAGGTACTATGGAGAGGCCAGATCTTTGCCTTAGGGGTAGGCTGAACAAACCATGCTACAGTGTACATGTAATTAATACCACTATTATAGAACTGACTTCTTTGTTTGGGACCTTTCTTATGTTTACAAAGTGTAAACACATGTTACATAATTGATGACTCTTTGAAATTGATAGAGTGAATCTAAGATTGTTTGACTTGTTTTTATAGTATTTGGCAAGAGTTAGGACCAAGAACATCATCACAGCCACCAAGGATATTTAGTCATACCCTAAGGCCTGACCTCTCTTTACTTACAGTCCCCTATTCCAAAATTGGAAGGTTGGATTTCCCAAGGTTTGTCGGTTATGTCAGTTATAGTCATACAAGGTTCAATGTTCTCTCAAACAAAGAGAAGCCATGGTGAACCCTGAACTGCATGTGACCAGCCACCCAAGCGTTACTGTAACGTTACGTAACGTTACATACTAACTTACATGGTCAAGTTCATCAGATGAGCCGGGCCTTCACTGATGAAACACGTCCCCCCCCCCCTAAAAGTACTACAGTCAGATTAAATTGAGATTACATAGTGCAGGTCGGGAGGACAAACGTTTATAACTTGTGCATGCTCAGGACCTGTACAGAGTCGACGCCATATCGATTCGGGCCTCCCGGCGCCACAAATTTGTCCTCAATCTCGGGGACACAAGAGTCATCGATCGTCCCGCCAAGGATTTCTCTAAACCTCCTTGATATCACCGATCGTCTGATAAGCAGATGATATTGTCATAAGCTCACCTGTATAAGTGTTAGCTCGTGGAAAGCCGTTTACCGGAGCTTCCCAAAAGCTTTGTCGCGTCAACACGCCGCTTCCTCGTTCGTGCACCACCGAAAATGAATGTCGTGAATCGGAGGCAACGAATAACACGATGTTTTTTTGTTCGCAACCACTACTACTACGACATCTAGCGGTCATGATCATGACAGCAGCTCAGTTCACATTTTGGTATACATTTTTGTAGGTATATCTTTTGGTCTTTTCATGTCCACGGTTGAAACTCAGGGTTGAAACTTAGACTTGCAATTTAGCAGGGTTTCGGGGATTGCTTCATATCCAACTCTGACTGCTTTATCTATAACTTTGGTGAATCTCGTATGGCACTGTCATTCGTACATGTGTTTTCTTTTCTATTAAATTTTTCATCCCTATAAACTTAGTATATTAGATCTAAAGCAGGCACAGTTCTTTATCAGAAAGCCCTCCAGTCATCATTCAATCATTCATTCAGTCAAGCGGAAAAATTGCTACAAAAGTGGATCATCAGGATCACATCTACCCATATCATATCCCAGCAAGCATTGCGGCATAATTAGGGTCTGGCGTCCATTTTCTTTCTCGAGGTGAGCGCTGAAGAAACAGAAGACGGTTCCTGAAGACTTGTGGACTAGTGACGGTGGTTACACGTAGGGTAAGTATGCAGATCTCTTCCTCATAGACCCAGGACAATTTTCTGTGAGAAAATTATGGTGTTTTTGCCAGATTTAGTGTGTAATTGTGCCCTGATTTTCTGACCCAAAGCGGCGCTTTGTTCCCCCACGCGCTTGGGTTAGGAAAAGGGGGTGTATCTAGGTAATTTGCTAAGAAAATCGGCGAAGTTTTATATTTGGTAGGCTTGATCTTGTTCTGAATGTGCCTCTTCGATTTGCGCACGGTAAAATCGACCATAAGCGCATCTTACTTGCCAAATGCCTTGTTGGCAGGCAAATTTTGTTATGACCTGTCACACTCAGGTTTGAAGCGAACCGATTCATATCAGTGATTGTCACGTGGAACCCCAGGGTACAAACGCCACGGTAAACATGCATATTTTTTTATGCGCCTTATGAAAAAGGTTACAGTTAGGAAAACATTGCTTCAGAACCTTTGGTTCTCTTCTTCTGATGATGGAATAAACTTTGGAAGTTAAAGATTGATAACTGAATTTATTTTAGAGTAGCAGCCTTTCATGGGGGGAGGGGGTGCCCTCCATTCACCTGATTCAACTTTTTGGTGCCAGCTGCAAGAATCCTAAGGCCTAGGAAAAAATGTTGTGCTTCCTGTTTCCCGACCGACCCTAGGCTCTTTTAGGGGGTGGACCCCTGCAAGAGACATAAATTTTTCACGCTGAACAACCTTTTCTAGCTCCATCATCCGACACCTGAGTGATACTGATAAAACATTGACATTTGAAAATAAAAGTGTCCTCATGCATGCTTTACTTTGTTAAACTGCATTGTACAATGTATAAGTTGGACCCCTATATTTGAATCCATCACTGATCCACAAAACAGACCTGACAGTTCTTCTCAACTCGTCAACATTCAAGTACATTGATCAACTCTTGTCATAAAAACAGTAAAACAGTGACAGTAAAAAAGTTGAATCGGGTGAATGGAGTGGTAGCAGGTCGTTTCCCCGTCAAGTCTTTTCTCCGTCACATCTCTTCCCCGTCGGTGTGGACATTTCCCCACCGGTGTGGAGTCAGTGCCTTACAACTCGGAAGCAAGCATATACTACTAGTATATAATAAAAATTAATATACAGTCAAAAGATAAAAAGGCTCCCTAAATTAGTCTGGTCTCTGGTAACAGGTCTCTTTCTTCTAACCGTATGCTGACATAGTGAAAAAATACCATCTTCACTTTGCCAGGTTGTTCTTCATAATGCCAGAGGCAGACACACCAGGAAAAATTTTTGTGGCTGGACTGAACCTGGAAACAAACGAGACAACTTTGGAGAAGCTCTTCAACAAATACGGCAAGATCGTTGAAGGTAATTTTCTTTACATCTCTCCTGGATAAAAGTATATTTATTTCTGATGAATCTGAATTCCATATTTTTTTAGTCAGGAATCAGGATGGCTCACACAGCTTTACAAAGAGACAAAGGAAAAATTGCTTTTTTACCTGGTGTTACTTTTTGGGAGCAGTTTTTTTAAGTTGCATGCATGGGGTCAAAGGTAAAGGAACTTGTATACAGTGCTTGTCTAGACCATGCTTGATTCCATGTCTGTCTGTCCAATGTATTTTTTGAAAGAAGGTATTTGACTCAAAATATCTTTTGAGAAAATCTATATTGAATGTGAAGTCTATTGCTTTAGGTTAGCCTGTGCAGAGAGCGCTAGCTGCATCTACATTTTCCAACAGGCAACTAACAACACACATCATCATCATCATCTATCATAACAACACACATCTTTAAGCAAGTTTGTTATTCTCAACATCCAAGGAAAGTTTTTTAAGGTTTAAGGTGTGCTTGAGTGTAAAGGGATACAGACAAAAATTTCTTAACTTGAAACTGTGTGCCCCAATAGCAGCTTTTTGCTGACATCAAAAGTATTACTAGTATAAACTCAATGTCAAAATTTCTGATGACCATGTTGGAGTATGGCAGCAGCTGTTGTAACAAATGTACAATGTACTTCATTATGGTGCAAATGTTGCCATACGAAAAGCCCCTGTAGTCCTCAATATAGTGGTTAGTCAGAGGGTGTTCAATGTTATTGACTGGCCGTACGACATTATGTACATTCTGTAATCCTGAGGCAGCTTACCAGCTGACATCAATGTTCCATGTCTTATTTTGGCATCTTGAAGTTAGAATGTGTAAATTTTCTTTGTCTTTTCTTCCAGTTCTGTTGATGAAAGATAAGATCACTGCAAGATCCAGAGGATTTGGTTTTATCACATTTGAGAACCCCAGAGACGCAGAAGTAGCAGTTAAAGAGATGAACGGGCAGGTATGTGTGAGGATGAAATATCTATTTGGAGAAAATAGAATTGCGAGTGTTTGAGTGAGATGGAAGGTACTGAGAACTCATTTTAGGTGTTAGCTTATAGTTGTCTCATGTTATCAACTAAACAGTCTTGTGTTGAAACTGATAAGGTGAAAAAGTATTATGATCACAGGTACATGTATTATCATCTGATGATGCATAGCGTTTCTACTCTCAAGAATTTTGTCATTGTTGGTGGATAGTGGATAATTATTTTGTTGTCAATATACAGGACGTTGCAGGGAAAGTTATCAAAGTGGACCGTGCCACGAAGCCCGCTCACGCACCAGGGGAGAAAGGCCCCAGTCGTGGCCCCCCAGGTAGGGGTCCCCCGAGTCGAGGCCCCCCAGGTCGGGGCCCTCCTCTCAGAGGACCCCCCGGGCGAGGCCCACCCCCGTCCAGAGGGGGCAGGGGAGGGAAGGGTGCCCGGGATTCCCGCGGCGGGCGCGGAGGAGGCCCCCCGTCCCGTGGACGTGGAGGAATGTCCCGCGGTGGCAGGGGAGGCTCACGTCTGGACCGTGGCGGCCGGTCAGACTACGGTGGCGCAGACTACAATGGGAGCCGATCTGGGGGGTACGACCGACTCGATGGAGGTATGGTTGTGTTCTTTCACTGCCTCATCATAAGTCACTACTTTTAGGAAGTCTGGAGAGCTGCTATATCTACCCAGTGTTCCAATTTCAGAACTGGAGGAACTTGACTAGCACTAGCACAATGGGGAACATAGCAGATAAAACCACAGAGACTCATTGTTAAGTATTTATTTTATTGTTTAGCTGATGCAATTATGCCATGCAACTTGTAATTGAGTGAATGGCAAATGGTTTGGGTTTTCAGAATAATATGCATATCCCAGGTTTATGCCAATTCCAGTGATGCAAATAGTTGGTATCTACTGTATTTATGTTTTTGCTTGCTAACCCATCACTCTTTCTGTATCCTCAGGCTTTGGAGCAGGCAGAGGAGGACGGGGTGCCAAACGCGGTCCGCCCGACCGCATGGGAGGCCCCCCTCCCAAATCTGGCAGGTTTGACTCTGATCGAGGCCCCCCTCCGTCGCGAGGCCCACCTCCACTCTCCCGAGGACCCGACCGCAGCCCCCCGCCCACCAGCCGCGGCCCGCCGCCACGCAGCAGCTACGACGACTACCCGTCACGCGACTACCCGCCGCCTCGCGACAGGTGACCAACTCTTCACGTCCGTCCGCATTATGTAGTCGTTAGCATCTTAGGTTGCCATTCTCTAACAATGCAATATTTCTGCATATAGCAGGGACTATGACCGGGACTTCTTGAGGGACCCACCAGTGAGGGAGAGGTTACCGCCACAGCGAGACTATCCTCCGCTCCGTGAGCGAGGTCCATCTCGGGCGTGAGTAATCCTGTTGGGTGTTGTTCTTCTCGGTCTCTTTCTTGTAAACTGTTTCACAGTCAGTCGCTGCCCGCCCTGCATCCTTCCATGCCTTCCCAGAGAAAGGATTGCTGGCAGGAGTGTGTGCACCACTTCAGGCACTCAGCGACGGGAAATTTATCTTAATTGTTCTTTAGTTAAGTTGTATATTATACAATGGAGTAATGGTCATGTTTGTGTCTGCTCTCCTTGTGTATTGTGTTCTTCTCTTGACTGAGTAATAAGTTAGGTTACATTCTATTTTTAATCTTTGAAAGTTTGAGACTCTGATTCAAAGCTTTTTGTAAGGTCCTGATGAAAAACCAAGTTAATCCTGCTGCTTGGGGAAGCTTTGTGTAACTGCTTGCATAGTTCTCACTAGGCTGTTTGAGCGTAGGGGCCCCCTACGCTGTGATTTTGACCCCCTACGCTGTGATTTAGCCCCCTACACTGTGTTTCAACCAGCGTAGGGGTGGTTTTTGGGGGCAGAAGCTTCATTAATCTTTAAAAAAAATGAAAATATAACTTAAGAATGAAGCTATAACAGAGGGAAAACAAAATCTGTCCCCCAATAAACAATAAATAGTGTCTTAAGTGGTTAATATGAGTTACAACATTTTTGGGGGAGAATATCAGGCCCATGGTTTGGGGACTCGGTGCGTGACTCGCGCCACAGAAAGTTGCCCTTCTATACCTGACCCCTACGCTTTGAAAAAATCCTGGTGAGAACCCTGAACTGCTTGGGTTGTAGTGATTAGATGTTGGTGTTTTGTTCAACAGGGACTACGGCCCTCCCAGAGAGAGAGAAGTGCCGCCAAGGGATTCTGGGTAAGTTGTGGTTGTCTAACATAAACTATGATAAACTGTTTGATTTCAGCTGGTGTGCAAGGGCAAAGCAATGAATGGCTATCCCAGCTCTGACTGCAGGGAGAATAGTGTTCACTGCATGTAATGTGCTAAAAGAGATCTGAATAAAACAAACTGTAAATACTAATGTGACCATTTTTGTGGTGTCAAGGTACCTTAGCTTGTCATGTTGTTGCTGTTAAATTCTACATATATGTCTCTAAAAATTGGCTTTTGCAGTTGTTGTAAACTAGATATCTTAAGTAAAATCATGCCTATTTCTGAAAAGTGCTGCTAAACCTTACTTGTGCTTTTGTGAATATCTACAGGTACGGTGGCAGAGACTACGGCAGCACACGAGACACCTATGGGGCCTCCCGTGCTCCAGAATACGGTGGGCGCGACAGTTACAGCACTGCTCGTGACAGCTACAGCAGCGCAAGCCGCGACTATCCCCCGCGTGACTACGGACCACCTTCCTCCGGCCGTGACTACCCCCCGACGACAGGGCGGGACTACGGCGACAGCGGCCGAGGGTACTCCTCGCGGGAGTCCTACGCAGGGGGTCGCGACTACCCTCCACCGGAGAGGGAGCCTGGGTATGGGCGTGATTCGTATTCTGACAGTTACCCTGGTAAGTATTCCACCATTCCTGACACTGTGTTTGTTACTTTGAGCAAGAGAAGTATTTTGTCTTTGAATATCTCTTCATGAAGTCAATCGTTACACTGCCACCTACGGTTTAACAATCCTCCACAATTCAAGTGGCTGTCCCATTGAGTAACATGCCAACTTCCCATGGTGTCCTGTACATGCACTACAGTCCTAAAAACTTAGCACTACTACTGAAGACATAACATCTTATAAAAAACATTCTCCTAAGAAAGAAAGTACTAACTGCTTCTCTCATGACAGCATGAATATCCTCTCTTTGAGTCTTTAAAAATGTTAGGCCTGCACCTCCATGGCAGGTATTGTGTCTGTGGCTCATACACTACCCTCTCTTTGTTACAGACAGTGCCCGTTATGACAGCTACTCTGGTGGTAAATAGCATTTTTTTGTTCTCTTTAACCCTGATTAACCCTCTTCCACTTCTTGTCTTTTGGGGTGTATTTCTTCATTTGCTCCAACTCTTCTGCTTAGAGCATTCTTTATGCTTCTGTCTTAACATTTTCTTACCTTACATGATTGAACTAATGCATGTGTGTTGTTGCTTTCGTTCTTGTTGTTGTTTACGTGTTGCGGCGTATCACTTGTTAGACTGTAAAATCTTAAAGAATTCTCATACATTCTTTGTGTGAGATAACATGCTAATAATGTCACTGCTATTAACACATATACCAGGTACTGTACATCAAGTCCTGTTTTTAAGACTTTTCCCAAGAATAGCCTACAGACTGTCTTGGTGATAACTTTCAAGAGTCTTGCAATTCTCAAACAGGGAGCATCTGTGAAAGTCTTGCGTCAGTTCACGGAGTTCAAGTCAGGATCGTGTAAAGCTTCAGTTCTTGACATATCTATCACCTTCCTATCGTATTGTCGGACGTGGGAAAACGATAAAGCCCTCAAAGCACAATACTCTATCAAGTAACAAGTGAAACTTCAAAATCTCCCTCTGTGGAAGAGAAGACATACGCATCTCTGAGTCGTCAAGAAGTGCCAGAAACTTCCATCAGATACTAACAAATTCGAAGTAACAAAAATAGACAACCATGTTCAAGATGTTGACTAAGCTTCAGAAGCAGTTCAGTGTCCCTTCTCCTGTGCCATGAGACTCTGACAATGCGGACAATTGCTGATAAAACCGGTCAATAAGATGTCATCTGCAGAACTGCATTAACGATGACCATAGCAGTTGACTGGCATTCATCAGAATACTAGCCTGGTACCCTGGCATATGGCTCTTCTGGCCAAGGGGTATTGCACCAAGGCTTGCTACAAAAATATGTTGACCAGGCTATCAGAATACTTGATCATCACTTTCAAATGACAGTCTGTTCTGCACACTGTCTCCAGCTACAATGTAATACAACACCTCTTCGTGGACTCACATTTCAAGGAAAACCCTCCTTAAGGATTTTGTGGCAATGCTCACGTCAATGCATTCTCTTGGAGACTGTCACAGAGCAGTCTTGGGCATTGTGGTCAGCTAGACCTGCAAGTAGGACCCATTGTAGAGTTGTATTCCAGTTACCTGAAGCATCTTGTGGAGATAACTAAAAATTGAACAGTACAAACATCTAGGAAAGCTGGTTGTCTTAAATGACAAAGAGGCCTGCCCCACGTATTTGAGCCATTGTCCATCCTAACCTTTTTTACAGTGAATTACATGAACATTTGCAATAAGACAGTGGAACCGGTTACATCTGTATTCAAGCCAATAGTGACAATGTGTCAGTCATTGGACTCGGAGGACCAGTAACATGTTTCTACCTGTAAAATTATGAAACTTAAATATTCAAGCATTAGTTGGTTTCAGAAGAAATACAGGAATACAGCAAGGGATACTTCCATGTGGAAGTGTAGATGAAAGAAGCAAAAGTTTTCAGACTCCCAAGTATTACCCATTGGTATTTTGGTAGCCCTTTTGCAGTAATATCCAGTGATTGACCAAACTGATGCACAGTTTTACAGAATCTTCTGCAATCCAGTGTTCTAGATCAATGTATACAACAGGCATTTTGGAAATTCAACATTAAGGTATCAAAGGTCTGTCCCAAGATTCTCAACACTGAAGAGCACAACACCAGAAGGTCATACTGTGTTTTGGGAAGAATGGCTATAAGACAAACAAAAGTTTGGTCGGCAAAGATTGCAAGAATAAAAAGGAGAAAAACATAAAAGCAGAAGAAATCTCTTCCACACTCACAGTCTCACTCATGCCTTCTCTTGGGATCATAACCACTTCAGCAAATGGGCAAAATAGGCTTGCACGTGAAACTACCAGGTCAATTCTCACTCAAACAGAACTTGAACAGAACTTGTGTTGTTACAATGTCTACGCAATGACTTCCAACCTTGTACTCCTTTTAGATGAAGACACAAGTCTGTGTGAGACTGCCTTTGTCATCTGCAGGACTCCAAACATACAAGTCAAAAGAACCAATGCAACAAGGTCCTGTTGTTGCCACTACTAACTATTGAAGTTCCCTTTTAGCATCTTTCTAGGACAATTGGTGCTGCCTGGACAACTGAAGGTACAATCGAAAGATGCAGAAATCTGGACACAAGTCAAGCAAATGGTGTTACGGATCACTTGTACTTCAAGTAGTAGAGTTGCACTCTGCTGGCTAACAATAGACTATTAGCGTCTCTTCCACATACCAAGTGAACATCCTCTGTCTTCACAAACGTCCTCCGCCCTCTTTGCTCTGCATGTTTTCATCATGTTTATCCCCTTCCTGTGCAGTCCATTGAGTTCAAATCACACCACAGATATACAAGGTTTTACCTTGCTGTAGCGGTGATCATACTTTCAATTGTCTGTAACTCAAGATTGCTGCAGTTCTCTTGGTTCAACCAATCATCCCTCATAAAAAAAGTCTCTTCCTGCAGGTGTAAAGAAATCACTGTAAAACAACAAAACCTAACTTCCTTGAATCACCACAAAGATGCCTACCTCTTGATGAACAAACACATAAGTTCTAAACATATCTTCCTGCACATTGCAAAAAAAAAGCTTTGTACCAAACAGCTCAAACTTGCATTGTTGTAAAGTTCTCACATATGCACATGAGGGATGCAGGTTTGACCTTCCGTAATACAGAACTCTGTGGTTGCCCTTCCTTGCGCAGATCACATCAAAGCAGAATCATATCTTGGAGCAGGCGAGGTATGCAGCATCAATCAAGTCCATTGTCTTTGCCCTTCAGTTTAACCCAAATGAATGTAAACTTTTAAAACCTACAGGCAGCGCACGCGGACCACCCTCTCGTGCCCCACCGCCAAGCTATTCAAGCAGCAGTGCCCGCGGATACGGGGATAGTTACGATACGTACGGGAGTTCCCGCTCTGCCGGCCCTGGATACGAAGAACGCCGCAGTGCCGGTAGACCGGAGCGGGCAGGAGGACGAGATGCGTATCCATCGAGCTATGGAGGCCGCGGAGGCGGGCGGCCAGAACGTGGCGGTTACGGGGGTGGTGGCGGGAGCCGTGGGTACGACCGTCGTTGAAACCCACAGATTGTCTCTTCGAAACCAGGAAAAGTCAAAGAGCAAAAGATCTTGTTCTCCAAGCCAGATGAATACAGTACTTTTCCATTTTATAGCTGAAGTCTTGATGATCAGTGGCAACTGCAATCTCTTTTAGATCAATGTGAAACTAGTAAAAACATCTTTTCTACTCCCAAACCATCATGTAACCTAGGCAAAGACAATGTGATTGGGGAACTATCAAATGAAAGAAAGGACTGACATTTCCACTACGTTCTAACAATGAAGACTTAAGTCAAAAAATTTTTCTCAACTCATCCACAGTACAAATATTGCAGTTATAAGAAGTATTGTTCAACTATAGAATGTATGGGCACTTCCTGAAAAGTATGTTCACTTTTTATAAACAATGGAGACAAGGAAAATCCACCTCAACTGTTTCATACTGTGTATACTGCCATTTTCAATGTTGTCCAACTACAAGACATGCCAATCGTACAACCAATGAGAAGGAATGAAACAAGTAGGACAGAAAAAGTTTCACTAAATACTTAGGAAGTTCTGTTGTCAGTTGCCCTGCTGTACGTGGGTACTTTATTGTTTTAGGCTTTCCTTTTATTATCAGCTAAATGTTGTAGGAAACGTGTAGTTTTGTTAAAGTCTGTGTATTCGAATAATAAACCATACATCTGAAAATTGAGGCTTTTGACAAAACATTTTTGTTGTCAACTGTGGAGGAGCTGCCAATGATATATAATATGTTACGGGCCCGAAGGACACTTGCCACCAAGCAAAGTTGGATACCGGTTATGTTCACCTACAATGTACACGTGCCTACCTGCATCATTGGTGAAGGAAGCAAGGTTGGATGAACTAACCAAGTTGAAATAACAACAGTCCTGAGGTAGTAAACACAGTGATACCTAACAAACTTGCAAAATTGTGCAAATGATCTTTTCGGTGGTGGTCTTGAAATCCATTGTTATGTTCTTAGTATGCTTGCTACTTATGGAGAAGGATCTTCAAACTGAGATTGCCAACACAAAAAATTGGACTTAACCAAATTTTCTTTGATAGAACACCAGTGTTTGTCAAGGAATGAACCCAGCTCTTCAATGACTGCATTTATGGCAGACATGTGGCTCAGTATGTAGTGGATCAAATTAATTCTCCCAACACAGAAGACCTTTCGACATAACATTTATTCTCTGTATGAGCGACAACAAAGTAAGAAAAATTCTTCCTCTTGTATCAAAGCATTGATAAAAAGACTTAACAAATTTTCCTTTTTGGTGGATGATATGCTAAATCTTTCATAGTTGTCTTCAACATGGACACCATGCAATTAACTTATCTATGCCAAGACTGCAAACAAAGCTTGGACATTCATGGACCAAGAAAGAAATTTGACATTGTATCAAGAAATAACTTGCCATAAAAGAAGCTGTGTTAACTCACACACCTAGATCTCCAGTAGTATTGTAGCAAAGTCTACACTACATATGCAATATGCTGTATTTTGATGATGTTACATATCTTGATCCAAACTTCTTCATTGTGGTGTATCTCAACCAGGAATGGAGTATGCAGCCAATCGTTGACAGGACTCTGTAACAAAAGAATTTACAACTGCGACATGTACATGACAGTGATTAACAGCAGTATTTGTCTTTTTGTTTAATAATGATCATTGAATACTGAGCTGACAGCAGAATCAAATTCATTCCGCAAAGATTCTAACAAAAACATTTTGCAAGAAAATACAAATGTACCTTTCAACAGTATGGCTGGAGTGTGGGTGCAGCATACCAAAGACATCCAGGATTTAATCTTGATATGGTTGTCAGCTCTTCACAGCCCTCTATGACAGAGCAAATGGCATTTTAAAGTTTACATGATTGTACAGGTGGCACCAGCCTGTGCAGCATTCAGGACCTGATTCAGGCTTTCATATCTATAGTTTCATGTTGGTATGATGTTGGAAAAAATCATGATTCGTATGGATGGGTACTGACGTAACAAGTCCACACTATGTGGTGAAGAAAAACCTCATCCTTAACTCTCAAAGAGGACAACTCACTTTCATCTGACACAGTTGCATCAGTGGATCACATATCACAACTATATACTAATATCATGCACAAGAAGCCGGAATCGTCACTGGAACAAGACCAGGACATGACACAACATGACATTGGCCTTCGGAATCACTGGAAAATGCCAGCAAGAGGTCCTACAACAACTCAACAATCCTGGATCAGGTATATATCAGGTTTGGTATTCCTGACTAGACCTCTAGGCTATGTAGGAAAAGAATGTGATGGTAAAGAAGGAATGCAGTTGCTGCAAACCTATTGCTATGTAGCTCTGCCCTGTTCCAAACTCCTCACCCCACCAACTTAACACAGACATGGAACAGGTGAATGTCAGGCTTCACATTTTGGAGTAGGAAAGAAATGTGAGGGCAAACAAGCAAACTTTGCACCATGTAGCTCTGTTCCAAGGATCAACTCTCCCCTCCTAACACTGGTATACATGTATGTTTCAGTCATGAGTGCAGCTTTACCATGAGTCAATCTTCCTGGATGGCCATTCATCTAGCAATGGAAACATTATAAAATGAAATTCTATTCAAAAGTTTCCTACAAAAATACCCCTGTAGTATAGAGAAAGAACCTTGGGATCCAAGTTTTCATCATTTCCTCCCAATGCCATGTACCACCTGAAAGTTGTGGCCATACATTGTCAAGAACATAAAATACTGGAAACGAAAGTTCTGCTGCAATAGCAAGGAAAGCCACAAGGAGGCCTAAATCTCATCAATTCTCAGGCTGATACTTTACCACATAGAAAATTTAGTAACAATCCATCCATAGCTTTTTGTGTCATGCTCCATTGCAAAGAAATGCTTGAACAAAGGAATCACAAATGCTCTGGAAAACATAACCTCGGCAAATGCAACAATATATGCACTTTCAGTGCCAATTCAGACAAAACGGCAGACTAAGAATTGTGCAAGAAAAGTTCATACATTGGAGCTGACGTATCAAAAACCACAGCTAAGCAATCCAAACATAGCCCCATACAGGTTCAAATGTTCTTTATGTTAGCATACAATCAAAGAATGGAACTCGCTGTCTAGCCCAGTAGTGGAGCCTTTGCCAGACACAGTAAAGTCAGCCAGGCAAGGAACCTGACTGGCCTATCCCCCTTCTCACTCTCTGATGTCCTAAAGCAAGGGTATGGGGGAGAGATGATGACTGCAAACATAGAAGGGAAAATATGCTATAAGCTGGATTCTACATTCATGGATAGCATTTTTAATCCAAAGCAGTTTGGTGCTCTAGTACAGACAAAACATGAAGGATCCATGGAAGATCTCTGAATCTGATGTTCAGAGATGGCAAAATGCAAGAAATTTTTGACATCCACTCAAGACATGTAGGAGGATAAACAGTCAGTAAGGGCTACATGCATTTGCCCTGCCACGTATTAACAATACTTATGTGTATGGTGAAAAAAGACTTTTATCCCTCAAGTGAAACTCAGTTGTAACAAGACAAGTTCAAGACTGTTTGAAACAGCACCTCTTCTCAAGTTAGAAACATCAATATTTGACTCATCAAGAGTGAGGATCAATTGACAATTGAATAAGGTGCAGGGGCTACAAAGGCCATCTGGGGAGAAATCCTTCACCATTTGATTATCAAAGTTATCTGTTCTGACAGCCTACCTTTTGCCCAGCCTAAGTGCCCAGTCATAGATTACTTGGACCAAAGAATGACTTAGATGAGGCCAGTACATGTATATGGGTTTTTCTTCACAGGAAGCATTCCCCAGGCATATTAATCTATTGGTTCAGTCCAATGGCAATTAACAGGTAAGTTTCCCTTTATTTTATTGTTAGGGCTGTGTAAAAAAAACTAACCAGTAGCCATAACGAAGGATAAGTTTTAATTGTTTATTTTGTACACCAGTTCGTGCTTCAGATATGTGTTGATGGTTGCCCTGTAATGATATTCAGAGATTAAAAAAGTACAAATTTTCATATTGTGTCAGTAGTTAACAAGGTAACGTATCCTATATTCAGTCAACATTGCATTATACAGACTCGGTTTAATTAAAATGAATGCTTTCAGAATACATGTATTTGGTTGGCTTCTGAAGTGTGAAGACATGACTCGTGTGTGTTTTTAAGAAGTTGGTGTTTTCAGATTTTTATCAGATGAATATAAATTATTAAAGATTACAAATGTTAATGAATTTGTCTGATTATTCATCCTGTTTTTGTCATTCCTCTAGCGCTAGTGAAAGTAATTCTTGGTATTTAGAAGCATGAGTTTTTGACATAGTGGTATACTAGTATTAGTGGATGAAGTATATCACAGTCTAAAATTTGCTAGTGACTACCAGTATCTCTTAAAGGACCTCTTACTTGGCCATTTAAACATACACATACATACACCCACATACCCACACCCACCCACACCCTCACACACACACACACACACACACACACACACACACACACACACACACACACACACACACACAATTTCCATTCAAACCTAAACACATCACCCAGTAAGCAAATACAGTACCTCTAGTGTCATTATGACCCTACGTTACAGATCGTGCAAAAGGCCCACAAGGACAGGTTTTATTTTGCAACGTGTGGCTAGACTTTTTGACTGTTTTCAGGTCAGAATTTACAGTATGGTTTTGTCACCATCTTGAAAATAGAACAGTTTGCACGATGAAAACAAAAATCCTAACCAATAATGTAGGGGATTATAGCTATCCAACTGTTGTATTCTTAGTTATATGTCACTTTATACTATAGTTGTATCAATGTAAAGCATTGTTATGGCTTAACCACACCACGTAGTGGATTCTTTTACCCAGTGTTGAAGCCATTTTCTCCGGAAATGTCAGCCTTTCTCGTTACTGTTACTTCAGAAGGGTGTGCAAAATACGATGTTCTGGGGGTAGGTGCTGGACAACTCAACAATATACACTGGCCAAGGATTAGAAGTAAATCCTATCCTAATCCCATTGCCTCAGACCTTGACATAAGTGCTGAGAACTCCAATACTTCATGTCAGCTTGGAACGCTTATTTCCTGTTTTCTCAGAAACCTGGCTATAGCGTGATCAAAACATTTGGCTCGTTGAGTGACGGTTCGCAAGGCGTCATCAGCGTGCTTTGCCGCGCCGGGCTACATGAACAGTAGGCAGTCAGTTCACGGGACGCTCCGGTTAAAGATGGCTGCTGCAGTGATTCTTCTAGTCTTCTGTCTCTCTCTACAAAGTGTCTACGGCGTTGGTAAGTCATTGTTCTTGTCGTCTTATTACTTGATGGTTAGGTACAAGAGAAACTTTTCCTTGGATCTGGTATAGAGTGAGGCACCGTGCCGTCCGCAGTTTGCTTTCGCAAATAAATTCAAGTGTTCTTGCATTTGAAAAAAAATGATTCAGGCCCCTCTGTGTAATTCCGAACGTCGCCTGGGTTAATATTTAGTGTATGTGTGAGAGAAAGGGTCAACAGATAACATGGGATATTTTCTTTCATTAGGCCATGTTGATTTCATTATATGGATGACATCCTCCGGGAGCCCCAAAACTGATGCGCGCGTGCGAATAAAAAAAAAAGTTTTGCAAAAAAAAAAGTTATTTTCATTATGAAATCTACGTGGTTATGAGGGTTGAGCAAATGGCACAGAATATGGTTTGGCGAATAATCTAGTCTTCAAGTTCATTTCTTTACAATTTCGTCTTTTTTCGTTTGATTTTAGCATTCTACGACATTGGTATAGTTTTTATTGATTTTGTAACTTATGGTATATTTTTGCTCATTTTGCAACTGTTTTGTACGATGTACAGTATGGTTGTAAACTTTTTTTTTTGGAAACGGCCGAAAATTAATGCGCGCGCGGATGTCATCCATATAATCAAATCAACATGGCCTTACGAAGTAATAAGACGAGAAGCTAAGATGAAAAGTAGGCCTCTTCCTGCAAACAAATTGAAAACGCGTCTACAGTGGAAACGTCGAAGTACTGTCAAAAGTGAAGGTGGAACTGCTATACTGAGTTTATCTTGAACTTGTACGTACGTATACACGGTAATGAGTTTTTCAAGTACAAACAGTTGACGGACAAAAAGGAGGTTTGTTTTCAAAGAAAATTGTAACTTTGCGGTGTGTAAATATTCGTGATAATGTGGTGGTAAAATAATATTCAAGATAAAGCAGTATCTAAAAGCAATATACTACTAATGTGATAATTTCATGGTTACTGTTACTTGTAATCACAGGAACTACAGACATGGACTGTACAACGCGGTAAAAATTCAAATGCAACCATAGGGCACTTGCTCATACTTCGATGTAATTGATGCTGTTCTGTGGAAAACATTTATTCAAAACGCTGTAAACTCTTGTCCTCTGCCAACAGTTTTGTCTTTGCCTTTTTGTTAACATTTACAGGGGATGCACGCCGGCCAGGGAAGTTTTACTGGCCTCGTGGTATCCCTCGTGGAAACCCGTTGTGGAAACGTTTCTGGGACCGTTTCCACCCAAAACAACAGGTAACCACGGTTCCAACGACTACAACAACATCCCAACCGACTACAACAACATCCCAACCGACTACGTCGACGGCAACCAAGACCACACCGCCGCCCCCGGGGCCGCAACCCCAATGGCCGCCCCCGAATTTTCTAGTCCATGGCAGTTCGGCGTACAGTATTGATCTTTGCGAGACCAAGGAGTACATCAACTCGCTCTCGTGCAAGCTGGAGCGCGAATATCCAGATATTCAAGAGGGTCTGCTCACCACGTTCGGGTATGTATTTCCGGACGGTGGGGGCGCGGTGGTTACGCCAATTTCCTCCAATCCTTGCGGGTACTCCGCCACCATGGTGTCGCCGATCCACGCCGTCACGGTCAGCGGGGAGACGGTGGAACTTTGGGTGGGAATACAGAGAGGAGTCGTCAGGCAGCAGGAGTTCCTGGAGGTGAAGTGCACCAGTTCGACCCCTGTTTACCACCGGGGCTGCGGCGGCAGGTGTGTGGAGGAGAGCACGTGGAACAAGGCCGTCGTGGTCAGGTCGGGCGACCCACCCAAGGTTGGTTGGGATAGGATCCTTGTCAACACAAGCTGCAGCTGTCACGTGCCAAATCCATGGGATTTCTGACAAGGATCATATCCCAAAGTCACTTGAGACAAAGTCGAATCGCGAGGCCTCTGAGACCGAAGAGATGAATCCTGCTGATGAGCCCTGAAGACACACGGGAACTCATGGCGTTGGTGTGGCGCACAGTTACACAGTAGGACGAAGGCCTCGGACTTGTTAAGAAAGTGCCATGCTTTGTAAACAAGTGTCACAACCTCGGTAACGTTTCATCATTCCAAAAGAATGAGAAGTTTTCAAAGAAAGTTGAAATCTTCATATTATATACATAATGTATAATCATGCAGGACACACGCGTACGTAAAACATACTGTACTGCACTCTGCTTTTAGATTTAAAAATCATATCAATGAACAGAAAAAAGAACATAGTCTGTCTTTCCTTTCGTTCGAAAGTTTGTCTTTGCTATCATGTGCATATTACCTAACATCTATCTCGGCGTAAAACATACGTAGATCTTACGTATTACACCATAGGCAATATACTTTCGGATGGTAAAGTTATTAGTAAGCCATCTGTCGGTAAAGGCCTCCTCTCACAGACAACGTATGGGCACTGATCATGAATATGAACTCTGAATATATAACATAATGTGATATCATATACTGTAAAGCCCATCTTTCTACTAGACGGCGATCGCTGAGCTACCGTTCAGCGACCAAATTTGCATTTTTGTGACCCTTGATTTTACAATATATTATCATTATAATATGATACACGATGCAAAAGCATAATTTAAAAGACAGCAAAACACACAAAGCAACGAGAATCGTTCTTGTCCATGATATTCGTTGCTCGGCTAGCGGTCGTAAGGAAAGGAGGTGTAAATCTGAGCTTTTAAGCTTAGCCCCTTGTTGAAAACTACGTCATGACCATGGCTTGAACTACAGATGTTTTCCACCAACTAGGACCAACCAGATAACCTGCACATACAACATGCGGCGGAAAGTTCGGGAAAAACACTTCAAGCTGGCTTATGTAAGTTGGTACGCGAGGTTGGCCCACATCCGAGCAGGTTGATGCCCAGAACAAACAAGCCGCACGTCGAAAACAGGAATATTTCGGGGTAACGGTGAAAGTTGTTTTGGAGTGCCCGCTAGCCTTTTAAACTCGCCGTCGTCAGCAGAACGCAGCTAGACACTTGTGAAGTGGTATAAACAACCTCGGCCCTGTTACTTAATGATAACAGACAAGAGATCAGGAAAGGCCTAAAGCTGCCTACGAACTGAGATTTTCCACGAAACGGCAGGATGTTGAGCCAGCAAGTCTGCTGGATCATGTCAACATCAGTGCCACATCAGTAACCACTAGCTGCTTTTGAACGTCATTGGGGCTCGTATGCATGTGGCTCGGGAATATAAAAGCAGACTATACAGGAAATATGTATTTTGATCACTTCCATCAGTTTCCTGCCACAGGTATATAAGTAGGAAAGGTAAAAATATTACTTGTGTTTAGAGAAAGGTCACAGGTGACATAACACTGTGCCAAAGTGTTGACATACAATTCGGCCTGGGAGAAGAGGTTGTACTTTACAATGTACAGCTCTAAACATGTCATGGTTTAGCCAAATTGTTAACATCTGCATAGATTGAAAAGTTTGCATTACATACAACATATCAAAGTGTCCATTACGCATAAGTTAATAGTTCACATTTCATGTTGGAAAGCTGGGTTATTTTGTCCTTCTGTAGTAACAGTAGCGTGATCAGGCAGTTGTTTAACCTGAAGTCCGACCACCCCGTCACACTCGTCATGTGGGACGTCAGGGGCAGGTTTGCCGGACTCCAGCCCCCAGCTTTTCCCCTTCTTCGGCACCAGGAGGAGGAGAACAACCACGGAGACAAAGATGAAGGTCGCGGCAGCGTAGAAGGACATGTCGTAGTTCCCAGTCGCGTCATACAGCCATCCTGTAGGAAAATTATGTAAAATGTCGATGTCTATCAGACACATGGGCCTTCTATTTAACGTCTAGACTAGTTACTAGTTACTACCTCTGCATAAGGACCACTTTGCCATTGTGTGCTCACTTTTTAGTGAGATGTTAGATTATTTTCTCATTGACCCAATCCTGTCTGTATATCGGTCACCTGTCTATACTGTAAAAAAAATTGCCAAGTCTTTTCAGTGCTTACTATGGCCAGCTACGTTTTACGATTATTTAGAATAAGGTTGGCAATGCTTACCTGCTATGGGTTGTCCAAGCAGAAAGCCGGTACCCTTGAAGACGAACGCCCAACCGAGCCCGCCAGAAATCCTGGAAACTCCGCTATATTTCCGTACAAGTACTACAATCAACGGGTAGAAGGTCCCAGACGAAATCCCATAGAACACCATACACGCCACCAGGCCCGTGTATGTCTTTGAGTTTGGTATGGCGATAGTGCATATCCCCAAACCGATACAACCCACCATGAAATAGTACAGTTTTCTGACCGGTAGTCTGTCTGATAGCCACCCGTTTATTGCTCGTGAAATGGCTTCCACGATGCCCATAACAGACAGGAGGAATGCTGCTTTCGTTTTCTCTATTCCCAGAGCTTGGGCGTGGGCTACAATGTGCACATAAATCATCGAGTTCCCCAACATCAAAACAAACAAGGACACGCTGTAGGTACGGAAATGTTTGCTTTTCAGCAAAGTCACGTCAAACATTTCCAAAACCTTTTGACAGAATGGAACAACGGATTTGCACGTTTGGGACGAATCTGCTGAGGTCTCATTTTCTGTTTCTTCAACTTTACCAGCATCTTTAATATGTAAGGGTCTCAGCAAAGCTCCAAAGACGCAGCCATTGAGCGCCATGCCGGCATAAATCAGGAGCGCACCGTTCCACCTGAACTCGTCTATGAGGAATTGAAAGAGCGGCGACAGGATAAACATGCTGACCCCGGTCCCACTGATCGCGATCCCGTTAGCTGTGGCGTGCCGCTTGTCGAAGTATTTCCCGATCATTGCCAGACTTGGGGAGTACATCAGGGACATACCAAATCCTGCAAGGAAACCCACAGAAAGGAATGAATATATGGATGCTTCCCGTCTTTTTCTCAGCAATATGTACAGCTTGTCCCTTAACCAATTAATCATAACTTACAAAACAGTGAACGTAGTACAGTCTGTACCAGACTCTTTGGCATGAGCTCGAGATGTTCAAGGCCAAGTCCTCTGACAAATTCCCAAGGAGGCTGGAATAGACTATACTCGTTAACTGTCGAGTTTATTCCTCCATATGCTACATGTACATGCACATCAGTGGCATGCTATAGTGTAGAGACAACGTTCATATACAAAACCTGTGACCATCCCAATGGTTATGACCAGGTGTACGATGTTTTTTGCGAAGATGCTGATCCCGAGTCCCAACGCTGAAATGACGCTGCCCGCCATGACGACGGCACGGCAGCTGGTTAGGTTACTCATGGCGCTGGCGATGGGGGCTGGAATGTTAAGTAAGGCCATGTTGATTTGATAATATGGATGACATTCGTGCGAGCATGAATTTTCGCACCCCCCCCCTAAGTTTTCAACCATACTGTAAATCGTACAAAATAGTTGCAAAATGAGTAAATATATACCGTAGGTTGAAACAAAAGCATTGGAAAACGATACCAATGTCGTAGAATGCCAAAATCAGACGAAAAAGACGAAAATGTAAAGAAATGAATTTGAAGACTAGATTATTCGCCAAATCATACTCTGTGTCATTTGTTCAACCTTCAAAACCACGTAGATTTTATAATGAAAGCAACTTTTTTTTGGCCAACCTTTTTTATTCGCACGCTCGCATCAGTTTTGGGGTTCCCAGAGGACATAATCCATATAATGAAGTCTACATGGCCTTAATAGTTTTATGGGCAGGTTGATTGCAACTTTCGTATGTCGTAATCCCCAAGCAGATGTTAGGGTAAAAGTTTTGACGCTATAAGTAATTTATACTCACAGCACATCAGTAGAAAAGACACGGTGACAGAACTGATGAATGACGTATTTCCCGCGCTTTCGTGGAAAACCTCTCGGAACTCGGCATAGAACACGCCCATGGACGCCCACGATCCTAGAAAAGTGAGGTCCGACAGAAACATGCTCAACACCACCACCCACCCCAGCCGCCGTCTGGCGGTTTATCCACGTACTTCATCTGTATTTCCTGTAAGACTGCAAGAAAGAAAGCAAAATATTTTGTTATGAGATGGGGGAACAAAGCGCACGTGATTTAAGAAGCCTTCAAATTTGTTTCTGAAAATGAAAACATTCAAGTGCACATTAAAGGCATGGACATTTCTTTAGTCTAAACCACAGATTCCAATGTGGTCACAAGTTAGTAAGGAAATGGTACTCGTACACATTATGCAATCCTTGACTACAAAAAGGCGCTTCAGATATCCAGGAGCTTCGAATTATTTGCACCTACTTGGATTAATTGAAGCTCATGTACATGAAGTCATAGCACGAACAGTCTGTTGGATTCTTGGCATCCAGCCGAGATTGGCATATATACACGTAGATGACCTCCTAGGGACAGTTCACAAATCTGTCTTGCCCCAGTTACCTTTCTACGCGCATAGTATGTTAGTTGTTGCATTATATGTTGCGGCATAAAAACAACTGCGGGTGTCTCTTACACATTTATAAGCATTTTCGTATCATCTTAGATTTTGAACACCTGCCGAGTCATACCATTGACAAACAACTGCAGATTGTCTTTGACACCTGATCCTCACTGAGTCATTCACCTTTACTGTATACGTAAACAGACGTCCGTGAACCCTGACCCTGCTGACTGGTTCTGGCTGGTACCGACGTCTGTTGTTGTTCAATTAAGCCCTAACATTTGCGTTTTTCTGCAATTCTGCAACTCGATTTTGGTAAATGTACTGTGGTGACTACTGAAGATTGTACAGTACTAGTTCCTAGTAAATTTCAGGCTGCAAATCTACATGATTTGTGTAACTGGACGAATGCCAGACGCCCATGATGTGGTGTGTGTCATACAACCAGTTCCTACCCCAGTGACGATGTTACTTTCCCCGAGAGGTTCTGTTACCTTTGGCTCCCAACTATCATACTTCATGATCATTATCTACTAACTTAAAGCCATGTGCGTACATACAACCGATAGGTATTGAAATGTGTTACCTGCGACTTAAGCCTTTCCAGGTAGTAAGGCTTATCAAAACACGGATTTCAGAAATGTTTTTGAGGTTACCAAACAACCTGAGTAAGATCTTCAAAGCACAATAAAAAGCGACCTGTAGGACGATTGATTTGAACTTCTCGTGCATAAAAAAAGTTCAAACAAACGGGCCTACGCCCTATGATTTTCAAACAAACAGGCCCACGCCCCATGATTATCACAATCTCTAGGACTGACACTGGATGATTGTAGGTTTTGGGCCTGTGATATTCATGGTGGAACAAAATAGACTCACCTTATGCAAATTTACAGCACCCCCAAGGCGTATGTTTCCCAGATGTTGTGCTCTGTGTTGTAACGTTGTGCGAAATGTGCCCCAAATCTCGGACCTGCTGCAACACGTAACACCTCACCTGACGAATGTCAGGTGATTCCATTGTTTTTCCGCATCGCCTATCACAGAGGTCAGGTTACTCGCCCTGCATGTCTAGCTAGCCTTGTAGCCTGAACCAAGGCCATACACGTTCCATGCGTCAACTGTGCCTCTAAATGAAAGTTTGATGTTCTTCATTTATCATTTCCCTTCCTTATATGAACTCAAGGCACAATGTCAATGTCTTGATTAATTAAGTTTCATAAACGTGTGTTTTCTTGTCTCTATTGTCGCCCCAGTTATCCATGTACATGTATGTAACATATGTAAAAAGGAATGTAATGGATTCGTGTTGGGGCGTACTTGTGGCACACAATGACCGTTCTCCACAAAAGATTTTTTTACTTTGTACAGTTTGGTGTTAGCACAGATGACACATAAAAGAAAATGTAGAATTCTTTTTCGAGCCGTATTAACATTCTATTCATTATGTGTAACAACACACAAATATTCTGATGTTGATTTTAGATCAAGTTTATTTCAGAAGCATCATATCAATTACCGTTTTTGATCATCGACGAACTTTCCTCTTGACATGTCAAAGCAGCTATTACATGTATACATTGAAGTGAGCGTCTAACCAGCTTTTTCTATATCGCTATTTTTGATCAGTGCTGTCACACACACACACACTCACACACACACACACACACACACACACACACACACACACACACACACACACAAACACATGTACACTGACACCCCAAGCAAGTCACAGGTGTCAAAATGTTAGCATACAATTTGACCTGGGAGAAGAGGTTGTACTTTACAATGTACAGCTTTAAAGATGCCATGGTTTGGCCAAATTGTTAACATCTGGATATAGATTGGTAAGTCTGCATTTACACATACATGTACACCATATCAAAGTGTCCATAACGCGAGTTGATAGTTCACATTTCCCGTTGGAAAGCTGGGTTATTTTGTCCTTCTGTAGTAACAGTATCGTGATCAGGCAGTTGTTTAACCTGAAGTCCGACCACCCCGTCACACTCGTCATGTGGGACGTCAGGGGCAGGTTTGCCGGACTCCAGCCCCCAGCTTTTCCCCTTCTTCGGCACCAGGAGGAGGAGAACAACCACGGAGACAAAGATGAAGGTCGCGGCTGCGTAGAAGGACATGTCGTAGTTCCCAGTCGCGTCATACAGCCATCCTGTAGGAAAAGTTATGTAAAATGTTAATGTCTATCGGACACATGGGTCTTCTAGTTAAATTTAGACTACAGTTAAACCTGTACTTGTTACTACCTCTGCATAAGGAACGCTTTGCCATTGTGTGGTCACTTTTTGGTGGACTGCTAGATTATTAACAGTAACAGTGGCAATGTTTACCTGCTATGGGTTGCCCAAGCAGAAAGGCGGCACCCTGGAAGACGAACGCCCACCCGAGCCCTCCGGAAATCCTGGAAACTCCGCTGTATTTCCGTATTAGGACAGCTATCAACGGGTAGAATGTACCGGAAGAAATCCCATAGAACACCATGCACGCCACCAGGCCTACGTATGTACTCGAATGTGGTATGGCGATGTTGCATATTCCCAAACCGATACAACCCACCATGTAATAGTGCAGTTTTCTGACCGGTAGTCTGTCTGATAGCCACCCGCTTATGGGTCGTACAATGGCTTCCGCGATGCCCATAACGGACGGGAGGAACGCGGCTTGCGTTTTGTCTACTCCCAGAACTTGGGCGTGGGCTACAATGTGCACAAAAATCATTGAGTTCCCCAACATGAGTAGAAACAAGGACGCGCTGTAGGTAAGGAAATGTTTGCTTTTCAACAAAGTCACGTCAAACATTTCCAAAACTTTTTGACAAAATGGGATGACGGATTTGCACGTTTGGGATGAGTCTACTGTGGTCTCCTCGTCTTCAGGTTCGGTTTCGTTACCAGCGTCTTTAAGGTACAAGGGTCTCAGTAAGGCTCCAGAGACGCAGCCATTGAGCGCCATGCCGGCGAAAATCAGGAGCGCGCCGTTCCACCCGAACTCGTCGATGAGGAACTGGAAGAGCGGCGACAGGGCAAACATGCTGACCCCGGTCCCACTGATCGCGATCCCATTAGCTGTGGCGTGCCGCTTGTCGAAGTATTTCCCGATCATTGCCAGACTTGGGGAGTACATTAGGGACATACCAAATCCTGCAAGAAACGCACAGAAGGTATTGAATACATGGTTGGTGGCCAAGACAGACTTTTTAATTCTCAGGAAAACTGCACGGCTAGATCAAATCGTAACTTACGAAACAGTGAACATAGTGTAGTCTCTACATATATATGCCCTCCTTCAGTCAATAGTGGCCATAGGAAAACCTAATTGTTATCAGCCCTACAGCTTCGACTATAGCTGAACAGTCAGACTGGAGTACCCACCTTTACTCCATTGACTTCTCTGCATGAGTTGTTTTTTTTAAAGGCCAGCTCCTTTGACAGACTCGCAAGGAGAGTCGAAGAGACTAGAACTAGATTCCCCCATAGCTGTACATGCTATGATGTGCTTCTAATGGTTATTACAGATATACAGACCTGTCACGAGCCCAATGGTGATGATCAGGTGTACGATGTTTTGTGCGAAGAAGCTGAGCCCGAGTCCCACCGCTGAAATGACTCCACCCGCCATGACCACGGCACGGCAGCTGGTCAGGTTACTCAGGGCACTGGCGATGGGGGCTGAAATATTCGATGAGTAAAGTTTATGGGAAGGTTGACCACATAACATTTTATGTCCTAATCTTCAAGCAGATGTTAGGGTAAAAAGTTGAAACGTCATAAAATATGTTATACTCACAGCACATCAGCACGATAGCCACGAAAACAGAACTGATGAATGACGTGTTTCCCGCGCTTTCGTGGAAAACCTTTCGGAACTCGGCGTAGAATACACCCAGGGACTTCACCGATCCTAGAGCGATGACGTGCACGAGGAACGTGCTCAGCACCACCACCCACCCCCAGCCGCCGTCTGGCGGCTTATCCACGTACTTCATCTGTTTGTTTTTCCAACGACCTGATTCTGCAGAAAGACAGCGAAATATTTTGTTATTGGATGGGACCGGGGAATTAAGCGTGCACGGAATCTAGAACTAGAAGGGTTCATTTCTGAAAATTCAATCTGCAATGTGCACATGACAGGCATAACGTTATATGGATATTTCTCAAGTCTGAAAGACCATATTTTTTGGGAGTCCATTGTGGTTACAAGTCAGGAAATAAATGGTGCACACAATGCAATCCACGGAGTCATAGCTGACTGTGATAAACTACAGGCCGATATTTCTTCTATGTATGAGTGGAGTCTCAAGTGGGGGATGTCATTCCATCCATCTAAATGTAAGGTAATCCGCTTGACTCGCTCCAAGAGTCCAATCACTTTTACCTACCACATGTCAGATATAGCCCTATGTTCAGTCAGTAGCATGAACGACTTGGGTGTTCTTGCCCAGTCTGACTTGTTGTGGAACAAGCATATTGTAAACATTGTAGCTAAAGCAAACTCGATGATGGGTTTTATTATACGCACTATCGGTTACGATTCCAGCCTGGATATACGCAAAGCATTGTATGTTACACTAGTCAGATCACTTCTCGAGTATTGTTGCCCCGTTTGGTCACCGCTGTCGCGTAACCTCATGGCCCTCTTGGAGGGAGTTCAGAGGCGGGCGACAAAGTTCATTCTTCGTAACAATGCAAATGTCAGTGAACTTAACTACAAGGACAGATTATTGTACCTAAACATGCTACCTCTGTCTTATAGGAGGGAGACAGCCGACATCATGGTTTTCGTTAAGTCCCTGTCAAGTATGTATGACCTGAACGTGTATGAATATGTATCTTTTTCAACCAGACCAGCAAGGAGTAACCGGTCTTACATATTAATGCCAAGCCGATGTAAGACATCTACATTTGCCATGTCATACATACCACGTCTGGTAACCGAATGGAATAAGCTTGACGTCGCAGTTCGCATCAAAGGGGCTTCGACGTTAAATCAGTCTGACTTACTGTCTTTTAAGCGTTGTCTTGTGAAATCTGCTGTTGAGAGATTTAAACATCACTTTGAACCTGACAACCTCTGTACATGGTCCACTGCGTGCAAGTGCGCGTCTTGTCAGGATTTGAGGGTTCGGTAGTCTGTATATATTAAGCTTTTTCATTATGTATATGTATATGTAAATCACTCATTATTTTATACTTGAGCCTATTGTATTTGTATGCTGTATCGGGACGAGGGCTGGTAAAGGTGTTACACCTGTTCCCCCGTCCCTTTCACTGTTGTGATGAATTTTAATAAATAAATAAATAAATAAATAAATAAATAGCACGAACTGTCTAGTCTGTTGGGTTCTTGGCATCCAGTTAAATCATAATATGCATGACACTTATCTCAAGGGCAGTTCATAAATATTTCTTCCCCAGTTAAATTTAGGCACATTAAATCAGATGTTGCGTTATGTCACAACAGAAAAGCAGAGGCAGAGGCATATACGTCTCATAAATATTTTCGTATTATCTTAAATTTTGAACACCTGCCGTGTCAAACCTGACAAACAACTGCAGATTGTCTTTGACACCTGATCCTCACTGAGTCATTGACCTTTACTGTAAACAGACGTCTGTGAACCCTGACCTTGCTGACTGGTTCTGGCTGGTTCCGTCTGTTGTTGTAAATTAAATTTAGTTTCCCAGTTCTCCAACTCCTCTTTGATAAATGAAATGATTACTGCAAGGCAGTATAGTACGAAGATGTACATTTCAGACTTACAATCTAGTTATGTACTAACTACTAAATAAACCAAACGACACATGCCAGCCGCCTATGATGTACAGCATGTCAGACAACCATTGAAGGGTTTTCCACCTGAGTGACGATGTTACTTTCCCCAAGGAGCTGTAAGTGTAAAAGAGAATGAGAGCCTAATTGCTTTCCCCGAGGGTTTCTGTTACCTTTTGACCCTAACTATCGTAGTTTATGACCTTTTAAGCAATGTACGTACAGACAACAGATAAGTATTGAAATATATTACATGTGACTTTATCCTTTCCATGTAGCACTAAGGCTTAACCAAACACGGATGTCAGTACTCTTTTTGAGTTTACCAAACAACCTCCACGAGTCAGATCTCCATAACAAAATAATGAAAAGCGACCTGCAGGCCGATTTAAACTTCTCGTGAATAAACACAAAATAATATTAATACAGACAAACAGGCCTACGTCTCATCACACACCATAGTGTGAACCTCTAGGTCCAAGATTGTGTCTAAACGTTGTTTGAACTTAGAGTCTAGGTTTTGAGCCTGTGACATTTATCATGGGATAAAAGAAACAGACTCACCTCATATAAAGCAAGGAGAAGGCACCGCACATCCAAGGCGTTTGTTACCGAGGTGTTCTGCTCTGTGTTGTTGTTGTGTGAAAGTTGCCCCTGCCAAATCTCGGACCTGTTGCAACACGTAACACTTTACCTGGCGAATGTCACGTGATTCCATTGTACCTGGCTTTCCGCATCGCCTGTTACAGGAGGTCAGTCACCCTGCATGTCTAGCCTTGTAGAACCAAGACCATACACGTTCCACGCGTCAACTGTGCCTCTAAATGAAAGTTTTATGTTCTTCATTCATCATTTCCCTTCCTCTATAAACTGACACAATGTCAACGTTTTGATCAATTAAGTTTCATAAACGTGTGTTTTTTTGTATCAATTGTCGCCCCAGGTATCCATGTACATGTATGTATGTAAGGAATGTAATGCATACGTGTTGGGGCGTGCTTGTGGCACAGAATTGCAATTGGCCGTTCTCCACAAAAGGTTTTTATTTTGTACAGTTTGGCGTTAGCACAGATGACACATAAGGAAATGTAGACTTCTTTTTCGAGCCGAATTGACATCCTATTCATTATGTCACAGGTGACAAAGTGTTGACATACTATTAGGCTTAGAAGGAGAGGTTGTACTTTACAATGTACAGCTCTAAAGGTGACATGATTTGGCCAAATTGTTAACATATAATGAATAAAGCATATAGAGTGAAAAGTCTGGATTTACACATACACCATGCTTGATTTTAAAGTGTCCATTACACATATATGTTGATTGGTCACACTTCACGTTGGAAAGCTGGATTATTCTGTCCTGTAGTAACAGTATCGTGATCAGGCAGTTGTTTAACCTGAAGTCCGACCACCCCGTCACACTCGTCATGTGGGACGTCAGGGGCAGGTTTGTCGGACTCCAGCCCCCAGCTTTTCCCCTTCTTCGGCACCAGGAGGAGGAGAACAACCACGGAGACAAAGATGAAGGTCGCGGCTGCGTAGAAGGACATGTCGTAGTTCCCAGTCGCGTCATACAGCCATCCTGTAGGAAAAGTTATGTAAAATGTTAATGTCTATCGGACACATGGGTCTTCTAGTTAAATTTAGACTACAGTAAACCTGTACTAGTTACTACCTCTGCATAATTAGAAAAATTATGTAAAATGTCAATGTCTATTGGATATATGATGGGTCTTCTAGTGAAACTTAGGATCACAGCGCTAGCCTTCGTGGTCACTTTGCAGGGTACTTATTTTGTCATTTACCCTATAGACAGGTTTGACGATTATTTATCAACTACCATTTATTAGTACGTTACTTAAACTAAAGTTGGCAATACTTCACCTGCTATGGGTTGCCCAAGCAGAAAGGCGGCTCCCTGGAAGACAAACGCCCATCCAAGCCCTCCAGAAATCCTGGATACTCCGCTGTATTTCCGTATGAGGACCGCTAGTAGCGGTTGAAACATACCGGCAGAAATCCCATAGAACACCATACACGTCACCAGGCCCGCGTAAGTCTTCGAGTGTGGTATGGCGATATTACATATTCCCAAACAGATACAACCCACCATGTAATAATACAGTTTTCTGACCGGAAGTTTGTCTGATAGCCACCCGTTTATTGCTCGTGAAATGGCTTCCGCGATGCCCAAAATAGACGGGAGGAATGAGACTTGCGTTTTGTCTACTCCCAGAGCTTGGGCGTGGGCTACAATGTGCACAAAAATCATCGAGTTCCCCAGGATGAGAACAAACAAGGACACACTGTAGGTGAGGAAATTTTTTCTTTTCAACAAAGTCACGTCAAATATTTCCAAAACTTTTTGGCAGAATGGACCAACGGATTTGCACGTTTGGAGTGAATCTACTGAGGTCTCCTCTTCTTCTTCTTTAGGTTCGGTTTCTTGGACTATATCAGAATCTTTAAGATGTAAGGGTCTTAGCAAAGCGCCACAGACGCAGCCATTGAGCGTAATGGCGGCGAAAATCAGAAGCGCGCCGTTCCACCTGTACTCGTCGATGAGGAACTGGAAGAGCGGCGACAGGATAAACATGCTGACCCCGGTCCCACTGATCGCGATCCCGTTAGCTGTGGCGTGCCGCTTGTCGAAGTATTTCCCGATCATTGCCAGACCTGGGATGTACATTAGTGACATTCCAAATCCTGCAAAGAAACGCACAGAAAGCACTGAATACTCGTACATGGATGCCTCCCAAGACAGACCTTTTTTTTCAGCTGATCAGCGAACGTAGTACAGTCGCTACTACACTCTTTTGCATGAGATGTTCAAGGCCAAGTCCTCTGACAAATTCTCAAGGAGGCTACAATATACATGTTAACTTTCAAGTGTGTTCCTCCATAGCATACATGCATGCAATGTGAATGCTACACATCATCGAGACAACGCCCATATACAGACCTGTCACGAGCCCAATGGTGATGATCAGATGTACGATGTTTTTGGCGAAGAAGCTGAGTCCGAGTCCCACCGCGCAAATGACGCTGCCCGCCATGACCACGGCACGGCAGCTGGTCAGGTTACTCAGGGCACTGGCGATGGGAGCTGGAATGAGAATTTTATGGGCAGGTTGACACAACTTGTGTTATGTAATAATCTACAAACAGATGTAACCGGGTAAAAAATATTTTGTTATACTCACAGCACATTAGTAAAATAGCCACAAAGACAGAACTGATGAATGACGTGTTTCCCGCGCTTTCCTGGAAAACCTCTCGGAACTCGACGTAGAACACACCCAGGGACTTATGCGCTGCAAGAACGATGTGAGACAGGAACGTGCTCAACACCACCACCCACCCCCAGCCGCCGTCTGGCGGTTTATCCACGTACTGCATCTGTCTGTCTTTCCTGTCAGATTCTGCAGAGCGATATATGGGGAATAAAGCGTGCATGTTGAATTTAGAAGAATTCATTTCCACAGATGCCACATTCTATGTGCACATGAGAGTCTATCTCAGGAAATAAATGGTGCACATGATGCAATACACGAAGTCAATGCACGAACAGTCTGTTGAATCCTTGGCATTCAGCCGATGGTATCTTATATCATGCATGACCTCCTAAGGGCAGTTCATAGGTGTGTATTGCCCCAGGTATGTCTACACACATTATGGCAGTGGTTGTTGCATTATATATATAGTATCACAACAAAAGAAAAGGCAGTGGCATGTACACATAACATTTTTGTATTATCTTAGATTTCGAACACCTGCAGTGTCATGCTATTGACAAACAACTGCAGATTTGCTTTGACACTGGATCCCCACTGGGTCCTTGACCTTTACTGTAAACAGCTATGTGATCCCTGACCTTGGTAACTGGATCTGACTGGTACGGTCTGTTCTTGTTCAATTAAGTTGTAAAATTTGATAGTTTTTCTGCAATTCTGCAACTCAATTTTGGTAAATGTACTGTAGTGACTACTGAAGACAGTATAGTACTACTTGTTACTAATTTTCATGCTTACAATCTACTTGATTTCTGTACTTAAACGACTAAAATCTTTTCCCTTTCTAGGTAGTAAGGCTTATGAAAACACCGGTGTTAGAACCGTTTTTGAGGTTTCCAAACAACCTCCATGAGTAGGATCTTCATAATATAAGTGAAAAGCAACCTTCAGGTCGATTTGAGCTTTCTCGTGATTGCAAACGTTTCAGACAAACTGGCCTGCGTCTCATCACACACCATACTGTGAGCGTCTTGGGCTGACAATATGTCTAAACGTTACTTGAACTTAGAGTCTAGGTTTTGAGCCTGTGACATTCATGGTGGTACAAAATAGACTCACCGTATATAAAGGCACCGCACCCTAAGGCGTTTGTTTCCGAGGTGTTCTGCTTTGTGTTGTAAGGTTGTGCGAAAGTTGCCCCAAATCTCGGACCTGCTGCGACACGTAACACTTCACCTGGCGAATGTCACGTGATTCCATTGTACCTGGTTTTCCGCATCGCCTGTCACAGGAGGTCAGTCACCTTACATTGAGAACCAAGGCCATACACGTACCACACGCCAATGCCTCTATTGATGTTCTTCATTCATCATTTCCTCCTTATATGAACTAAAGGCACAATGGCAATTTTTCTCTTAAATGGTTAAGTTTCATAAACGTACGTTTCATTGTCTCAATTGTCGCCCCAGGTATCCATGTACATGTATGTACGTAAGGAATGTAATGGTTGCGTGTTGGGACGTGCTTGTGGCACACAATTGCAATAGCTGTTCTCCACAAAGCATTTCTATTTTGTACATTCTGGTGTTACACAGATGTGTGATGCATAAGAAAACGTGGACTTCTTTGTCGAGCCCAACAACACACAAATATTCTAATGTTGACTCAAGATGAAGTTTATTCCAGAAGCATCATATCAACTACTGTTTGTTGATCATCGACTAAATCCCTTCTTAACATTTCAAAGCAGTTTTTATTACTACAATGAAGTTAGCGTGTAACCAGCTTTTTCTACATCGCCGCATAACATCAGTGCTGTCACACACACACACACACACACACACACACACACACACACACACAAACACACATACATACACTGACACCCCCATGATAGCAAGAAAGGACACAGGTGACATAACAGTATGCCAAGGTGCTGACATACACTTTGGCTTTGGAGGAGAGGTTGTACTTTACAATGTACAACTCTAAAGATGCCATAGTTTGGCCAAAATGTTAACATCTGGGTATAGATTGAAAAGTCTGCATTTACACCATATCAAAGTGTTCATTACGCATAAGTTAATAGTTCACATTTCACGTTGGAAAGCTGGGTTATTTTGTCCTTCTGTAGTAACAGTAGCGTGATCAGGCAGTTGTTTAACCTGAAGTCCGACCACCCCGTCACACTCGTCATGTGGGACGTCAGGGGCAGGTTTGCCGGACTCCAGCCCCCAGCTTTTCCCCTTCTTCGGCACCAGGAGGAGGAGAACAACCACGGAGACAAAGATGAAGGTCGCTGCTGCGTAGAAGGACATGTCGTAGTTCCCAGTCGCGTCATACAGCCATCCTGTAGGAAAATTATGTAAAATGTCGATGTCTATCAGACACATGGGCCTTCTATTTAAATCTAGACTAGTTACTAGTTACTACCTCTGCATAAGGACCACTTTGCCATTGTGTGCTCACTTTTTAGTGAGATGTTAGATTATTTTCTCATTGACCCAATCCTGTCTGTATATCGGTCACCTGTCTATACTGTAAAAAAATTGTCAAGTCTTTTCAGTGCTTACTATGGCCAGCTACGTTTTACGATTATTTAGAATAAGGTTGGCAATGCTTACCTGCTATGGGTTGTCCAAGCAGAAAGCCGGTACCCTTGAAGACGAACGCCCAACCGAGCCCGCCAGAAATCCTGGAAACTCCGCTATATTTCCGTACAAGTACTACAATCAACGGGTAGAAGGTCCCAGACGAAATCCCATAGAACACCATGCACGCCACCAGGCCCGTGTATGTCTTTGAGTTTGGTATGGCGATAGTGCATATCCCCAAACCGATACAACCCACCATGAAATAGTACAGTTTTCTGACCGGTAGTCTGTCTGATAGCCACCCGTTTATTGCTCGTGAAATGGCTTCCACGATGCCCATAACAGACGGGAGGAATGCGGCTTTCGTTTTCTCTATTCCCAGAGCTTGGGCGTGGGCTACAATGTGCACATAAATCATCGAGTTCCCCAACATCAAAACAAACAAGGACACGCTGTAGGTACGGAAATGTTTGCTTTTCAGCAAAGTCACGTCAAACATTTCCAAAACCTTTTGACAGAATGGAACAACGGATTTGCACGTTTGGGACAAATCTGCTGAGGTCTCATTTTCTGTTTCTTCATCTTTACCAGCATCTTTAATATGTAAGGGTCTCAGCAAAGCTCCAAAGACGCAGCCATTGAGCGCCATGCCGGCGTAAATCAGGAGCGCACCGTTCCACCTGAACTCGTCTATGAGGAACTGGAAGAGCGGCGACAGGATAACATGCTGACCCCGGTCCCACTGATCGCGATCCCGTTAGCTGTGGCGTGCCGCTTGTCGAAGTATTTCCCGATCATTGCCAGACTTGGGGAGTACATCAGGGACATACCAAATCCTGCAAGGAAACCCACAGAAAGGAATGAATATATGGATGCTTCCCGTTTTTTTCTCAGCAATATGTACAGCTTGTCCCTTAACCAATTCATCATAACTTACAAAACAGTTAACGTAGTACAGTCTGTACCAGACTCTTTGGCATGAGCTCGAGATGTTCAAGGCCAAGTCCTCTGACAAATTCCCAAGGAGGCTGGAATAGACTATACTCGTTAACTGTCGAGTTTATTCCTCCATATGCTACATGTACATGCACATCAGTGGCATGCTATAGTGTAGAGACAAACGTCCATATACAAAAACCTGTGACCATCCCAATGGTTAATGACCAGGTGTACGATGTTTTTTGCGAAGATGCTGATCCCGAGTCCCAACGCTGAAATGACGCTGCCCGCCATGACGACGGCACGGCAGCTGGTCAGGTTACTCAGGGCGCTGGCGATGGGGGCTGAAATGTTCACAAGAAAAGAGTTTCACGGGCAGGTTGATTACAACTTGCTTATGTCCTAATCTACAAGGAGATGTTGGGGGTAACAGGTTGTAACGTCATAAAATATATTATACTCACAGCACATCAGTATGATAGCCAAGAGGACAGAACTGATGAATGACGTGTTTCCCGCGCTTTCGTGGAAAACCTCTCGGAACTCGGCGTAGAACACGCCCAGGGACTTCGTCGCTCCGATAGCCACGAGGTGTATGACGAACGAGCTCAACACCACCACCCACCCCCAGCCGCCGTCTGGTGGTTTATCCACGTACTGCATCTGTCTGTCTTCCTCGTCAGACTGCAGAAAAATAGCAACAAGACTGAGAATTGTGCCTAGTACAATTCGTGGCACTGCTAAAATATGGACAAGGACACTCAGGGTATTTGACAGATGGCATGTCCATTTGTCGGCGGTCCATGGGGATTTTCAAGTGTCCATATATATCGGTCGTCCTTGGATGCCATGTTGCTCATCGCTTCTCACCTACTGTCGTCATCAACATCTCATCATGTATTTCTCCCAAATCTTCCTGCTTTAGATCTTCAGCTCTGACTGCGTTGATGGGCTTTTACGCCTGTCCCGTGATATCTTGAATAAGAACTGTTCGCGTGGTTGGGCTTCTCAACACACGGGTGTCAGAGCTAACGTTTACCGAAATTTTTGTCCGTCATGAACTGCGAAATTTTGTCAAATGGAAAATGGACACTGGCTAGAACCCTAGCCTGTATTCTGGTATTTCTGATAAGCACTCTCCGCGTAGTAGCTTTTCAACACACGGATGTCAGAACAATTTTAGAGTTTACCAAACTTTTGTCCGTTCAATGATGAGCGACAAAATTCCGTGATTTGACGGAAATTCGGACGCTAGATAGAACCCTGCACTCTGATAATCTTTCCTAGAAACTCTCCGCATAGTAGGGCTTTTCAACACACGGATGTCAGAACTTTACCATACACCTTCATTGAGTCAGTTCTTCATAACAGGCCTTAATGCCTGATCACACACAATACTGTGAACCTCTAGGACTAACGGTATGTGCACGTCTAGATGTTGAGGCAATGGGAAAACATCAGACTCACCTTATATAACGGTACCGCACTTGCAAGCGTATGTTTCCGAGATGTTCAGCCCTTGGTTCTTGTTGCGACAAATGTGCCCCAATCTCCGACCCACTGTAATATGTATCACTTTGCCTGACCAAGGACAAATGTCGCGTGGTTCCATTGTACCTGGTTTTCCGCATCGCCAGTCACAGTAGGTCAGTAACTCTGCATGCCCTCAAGGCAATACATACCACGCCATATTGATCGAATAATAAGACAATGACAGAGTGATGTTCTTCAGTTATCATTTGCAGGAACTAAAGGAACATTGCCTTGATTAATTAAGTTCCCAAACAGTTTGTTTTCTGGCCTAAAATGTCGCACTGGGTGTTCATGTATGTATGTAAGGAATTGTAAAGATATAGCCGAATACATATGACCATAAACCATGGTTGGGGATATATACCGGGTCAGGAGCAAGGTCGGCTAGTGTTTGGGCCACAGTACTAGCCCCTGTGTCACAGTGACTCCACAAAATGTCTTTATTTTTTACATTTTATTGTCAGCACAGATGACATCTTAGAAAATTTTCAAGCCATATTGACATTCTATTCACTATGCATATTTCCAAAAAAACACAAATATTCTGATATTGTCTTGAGGTCTATTTGAACTCCTCTATCCCGCCCTCGGCATGTGACTAAGAACAACTACTCCGTCGCACTGGTCTGGAAGTTGACCGGTACGTATACCGGGGCCAAGTGTCCTTCTGGTTGTTGAGCACGGGTTGAGGAGAAGCACGAGCACTGACGCGAAAATAAAGATGGCAGCCGCGAAGAAAGACCAGTCGTAGTTTCCAGTCGCATCATACAGCCAACCTGGGTTTTGGAAAGCATGGACATGTGTTATGTACTCAACGTCAGACAACAGTGTGCATGTCAGGGTCTAGTGACCGTTAGTGACTAGCACAGTCCATAGCAGGTGTCCGTGATTTTATCGGCTATGGTCTACCTTTTCACTGTAGAGTAGAAGTTGTGTACACTGTAGAAGTTGCACTACCCATAGCCCTACGAGACCAAGGAATGCCTACCACCAGTACTACATGTACTCTCTGCCTTTTCTGTCAGAATCAGAAAGCTGATATACAATCAGAAAACAGCACATGAAAAGCCACAAAGCTTAAGGAAGTTTAAAAGATGCCTGATATTTTGATGTAGCCTGGGTACCATCCGGATTTTCGCTACGCAACACTCGAAAAAATCACGATTTTTTCGAGCGTTGCGTAGCGAAAATCCGGATGGTACCCAGGCTAATTTTGGTGTGACCTTCGTTAACTAACAACTTACCTGCAATGGGAGGTCCAAGCAGGAAGGCGACACCCTGGAAGACGAAGTTCCACCCCAGCCCGCTGGACATCTTGGAAGCTCCGCTGTATCTACACACCAACACGGCGACTAACGGGTAGATAATGCCTGAGGAAAATCCGTACAACACCATACACGCCCCAAGACCCGTGTAGGTATTTGCGAACGGTATGGCGAGGTTAGCTATGGCCAGTCCGGTAACGCCAATCATGTAATAGTAGACCTTACTAATCTTTCCTCTGTCTGACAACCAACCGTTCATCGGTCTTGAGAGAGTTTCCGACACTCCCATGATGGATATCAAGAAAGCAGCTCGCGTCTTTTCCACGCCCGAGTCTTGAGCGTGGGCTACAAGGTGTACAAACGCAGAGTTGCCCAGAACCATCCCAAACATTGATACACTGAAGACAAGAAAATGACGGTTCTTCAGCAATTCGACATGAAACGTTTCCGCGATCTTCTGATGGAAAGGAACGTGGACTACTGGCACTTCTTTATCAGTACTACTCTGTGATTTTCTGTCAATTTGTTCTTTGCTACGTTCTTCTTCCAGATGTATTGGTCTCATCAGGGCACCGCAAACGCAGTTATTCAATGTTAGACCTGCGACAATTAGTAGAGCTCCCCTCCATCCAAACTCATCAATAAGGAACTGGAAGAGTGGTGGGAGGGCCAATTGGCCCACCCCAAATCCACAACTTGCGATCCCATTGGCTGTGGCGTGCCGCTTGTCAAAATAGTGTCCAATCATAGCAAGGCTTGGGGCGAACATCAGAGAAAAACCAAACCCTGAAATGAATAACAATGAGCAAATAGTTCTTAAAATCGTACTGAGCAGTAATCCCACTGGTACCAACCGAAAAACATGGATTCTTGT